ACAAATTTACATGCTCTGTAGATTGTGTTACATCTCTTCTGTCTTGTTTCATCATTTCCTCTGCTCATGATTCGCTCTCCGCAGCCATAGAAAGAGAAGGAATCAAAGATAAGAGAGATTTAGAGGCAGGAAAGCCAGCAGAGAGAAGCAAAGACCAAGCCAGGAGGAGGGAGTAAATTAGAGAAGGGAAGGGGTTTATGGGCATTTGGAGGTGGGTTTTTTGAGGAAGCGCCATACAAGTGGATATAAGGGATCACTGAGGGGGGGGGGGGGCAACCCAGGAGGACGGCAGCCTTCGACGCAGCTATAGCTTGGCTTTCAGCTTCCAATGACAAGCACCCCGGAAAGGAGATAGAGAGAAAGAGGGAAGTTAGTTTGAAAAAAAAAAAAAAAGAAGATCCACCACTCTTTTCTGAACCTGGTTTCTATGACTGATCTCAAACTCAGAGAGCGTGCAAACCTGTAGAGAAGCAGCTGGGCGTGACGAGGTCTTTTCTACGTCTTCACCCCTGTATCCATCCATCCCTCTCGTCGTCTCCCGCTCTCTTCCGGGGAGGAAGAAGGGGTTTAGGAATGGAGGAGCGGTGCATTACTGGCCTCTCTTCCCAAGCTGCCGATTTTGTAAGGTGGAAAGGGGAGACTTGTTTGCCGGTGAAGATATGTGTTGCGTCCGATGCTGCTGAAACATCTTAATTGGCTGCTTCAGCTGTGTGTTGCGGACAGATGCAACAATGTTCCTCTCACCCACCCTCACTTCTGCGCCTTTCTTTTTTTTTTTACTCTCCACTACGTGATCTAAGAGCAAAGAAATCTGATACCACCTGCCTCCCCTTGCCCTCCCTAGCTCCCTCCTCCTCCTCCCTCTCCTCCCTCAAGGCCCACTGTCTGCCCCGGGGGCTGTTTATCTACGGGGGGAGAAGAGGAGGAGAGGGTAGGAGGGGGACCAGTTTGTTTCGTTTCGGCCCTCAACAATGGACCTCAGTCTGTGGTGACGGACTACTCCAACATATGGTACCCACCTGTCTCTCTTCCTCTTTCTCTCCCTCTCTCAAATTCTCGCTGCCCCCCCCCCCTCTTTGCTACGTCTCTCTGTTTAAATTTCTTTGCTTATTCCTGCTTTCTCCCTCCCTGTCTCACCCAAACACACTGGCCGGATTAGAGGCCAGATTCATCACACACGCAGACCTGTTTGCTTTAGCAACCTGAGCCAGGCACACACACAATCACACACACTTTCACATAGATATTGGATCACGTAGAAAATGGCATGTAACGTACACACACCCCCACATACATACAGAACCATCAGAGAGATTGTCATACGCACATAGCAAAATTACATTTCTATGCTTTCCGTCTATGGATCCCCTCAATGCCTCATCAACCCTCCCCCCTCTCAGAAATATGGTTGTCAGCTTTTTTTGGAAATCCTGTTGAGGAGAGAAAGTTGTCCTTACATTGTGTGTGTGTGTGTGTGTGTGTGTGTGTGTGTGCGGATTGGTGTGCATGTGAGCATATGTGTGACCCTGCTGAATTAAAAAATGCACTGTTATTAAAGGCTGTGTCAGAGGCGATGATTTACACAGGGGAGCGATGACAAGTCAGAAGAACTCACACACCGAACTGACACACACACACACACACAACACACACACACACACACACACACACACACACACACGCAGTCACTCACTCACACTGTGCTTTCAGGCCTTCAAGCTGAGCAGTGACCTCCTCACCCGTCCTTCCCCTTCCTCCTCCTCCTCCCTCTCTCACTCTAATAAAACCTGTCTGACACCACTGATGTGTGTGTGTGTGTGTGTGTGTGTGTGTGTGTGTGTGCTCCGCGGCAGCACAAAGACTCTGTTGTCGGGCCTCCCTCTTAGGCCTCTCTCATATTTTCTTTAAAGGTGCAGTGCGCCCCCAAGAATGCCACAGGGGGAGCGAGGAGTTGGGGTTGGGGGAGTCCAGGAGGAGCTGGTGTGTGTGGATGAAGGGGGTCGGAGTGGGAGGGTGGGAGGTGCTTTACAATGCTGCAGCTCACCCAGGTCACAGAGAGAAAAAGGCAAAGAGTGAGTGTGAAGAGGAGAAATGAAAGAGAAGGGTCAGAGCGGAGGAGTGCTTCTCGAAAAGGTAGTAATGAGAACGCTTGCCGCTGCCTGTGTGTGTGTGTGTGTGTGTGTGCGCACCAATCCAGTCCTCTTTTTCATTGTACAATGTTCAATGTTCAAGGTGCAACTCAAACACCATAACATCTGTGTCTCATCCCAATCACTAACCATAAATAACTATTGACTCAGTGAAAAATACCTTGTAAATAGTACAAAGTAGTTTTTCTAAAGCAAAATACATATTAGACAAATATAACAGATATAACAACATTTTAAATAGGTTTTTAACGGAATGAAGTTTTCAAAGCCTTTGCTGAAGATAAAAATATTTCCTTTGCTTAGTCAAGTGTATTATTCCTCACATACTATTGCACATACAGAGGAAAAAAAACCCTGTAAAAGTTAGTTTTTATATGGCTTGTGTTAGTCCCATCACTGGTATTGGAAAGTAATATCGAAGCACTGTTGCTAAGGTTCGGTGCATTTTCCTATTCCTTGCTCACTGATTAAAAACAGGAACTATACTTTTGTGTTTGAGCTGCATGATGATCACATCAAGTTATCCACAAAATAATGTTGTTCAGTTCATCACAAGTATAGAGTGAGGGAGCTTTTTGTGATGTTTTTGTGCACCACATTAAATGCATTCAAAAAATGAACTGCAAATATATTCCAACCAATAAAAAAAAAATCCTGTCGTTAGTATAAAACTATACACAGTATAAAAAACAGTATAAACTAAAACAGTATAAAACTAAACTAAACTAAAAAATATATTTATCAATATATCTTTCAACAGTTTTGCTTTTCTTAATAAAGTGGAATCTAAATCCACCATGCAGTTTTGGATGAAATGGGTACAGAACCACATGTTCAGTTGTTAGTTCTTGTCTCTCACAGCTACCCACATCCATGAATACAGCCAAAGCAGAGAGGAGACAGGCATCACCTCTGCTTGGTTGTAGCGTTTATGAAAGCCATAAATGGTTCTTTAATATAGTGGTAATCAGGGTGGTAATTTGGGTGGAATTGTCCCTTATTGTTGCCAGACATGCCTCCGCAACTCCTGCCAACACACACACGCACACACACAGACAAACACACTCTTGGGCAGACCGGGTGTTCAAGGAGTAATTCACACCACATGCCAACAAACTGGGCGGTTGTGTTTTTTTTGGGTTTCTATGTGTGTGTGTGTGTGTGTGTATGTGTGTGTGTGCGTGTGTATGTCTACGCCTGCTTTAATGCTGAGGTCAAACCAGTAAATGGGAGGGGGTTCCCAAGATTTTTGTTAAAGTGTAAAAATATGTGTGTGTGTGTGTGTGAATAGGCACATCCACAGCCACGTCCGTGTGTGTGTTTTAATTGCGGTCTCAGCAGAAGTAGCAAGTGTGCTCGATACAGATGGTTTTCATCACGCTGACTGCGCAGCGGACTTCTCTCTCTCTCTCTGTCTCCCTCTAATCTCTCCTCTCTGTTTTTGTAATTAAACGTTACTTAATGTACCAGAGCTTCTAATTTGACAATTCATTAACTATATGACAATATAATGTAAGTGTGTGCCGTGCCGTGCCGTTTCGCAGCGTAGAACTTTTCTGTGGTTGTGAAATAATGCAGTAGAACAGATTTCTGGTGCTGGATGATTGAGTAAGAGATTCCATGTCAAAAAACATCCCTCATTCTGGCCGTTAATTTGCGGTGCGCACACACACACACACATACACACACACACACACGAGTGTGTGCATGCTGACACACCACAGTCACACACACACATACACAGACATTCATAAATCAATATTTACTAAGGAACCTTTCCCCTTTGAGTCAGAGGAAGCAAATGTGCATCCTGCTGTCTCCCCTCTCTAACCCTCTGTCATGAGGTTGTGCCTGTGTGTGTGTGTGTGTGTGTGTGTGTGTGTGTGTGTGTGTGCGCTTACAGTAAGTGCGAGGCGGCTCTTACTAATGTTTTTTTTTTCTTGTTTTGTTTTCGGAGCAGTTCAGACAGTCCAACAGAAATGCCCATTTCTCTGAGACCGATTTGTCTTAATGACAGAGAGCCTGAGCTGTTGATGCGATAACGAGCAACACAGTCAATGAAAGAGAAACGTATTGGCACAAAGAGAGACGTTTTTAAGGGGTTTGCGGTGGAATGAAAGGAGATATATAAGAGGCGGTGGGAGGAAAGGCTCAGGTTCCTGGGTCGAAAAGATGAAGCGGTTACACTCAAGGGCAGCGTGAAGGAAAGGAGACAGAGAGCTAGGGAACGATGGTGTCACCACTTTGAATGGACAGCACTGCAGGCCAGAAATCAGAGAAACTGGAAGAGGGGGAGGAATGAAGAGGTGGGTGGTGGTTAGTCACAGCTCTTTAGGGCACATCAGGGCAAACGGTTCCTTACATCAATTCAACACACAAACACAGTGCAACTGACACACACAAGAATATGCTGACACACTTCTGCCACAGAGGATGTGGAAAACCCCCTTCCCCGGAAAAGAGAGGATGAAGAGGAGGAAAGGGATCTGGAAGAGAGAGAATCAGAGGGGAGGGGCAGAGAAACAGAGAATGTAAAGGAAAAACTGGTCAGGGTTTGGAGTTACAGGAGGTTTTCAATGACTTTGGAGGAACACAGTGGAGCAGAGACACACACAAAACGCACATACTCATGTTTGTGCTCCTCTTTTTTCTACCCCCCCCCCCCCCCCCACAAAAAAAAGTGTGATTGGTGTGATGGTTTGTCCGCTGTTTGAAACTGAAATTATTACGCACAGGAATTTTGTAAAAAACAATATTTGATATAGAAAAAGGTGTATGACTTGAAATTGTGCAAATGATTCACTGTACGGCCATGTGTGCATGCTAAACATCTCTATTTGTCCCCTGTAGGCGCTCCAGGCAGCCAGACAGTTCCTCCTCCAGCAGGCCTCTGGACTCAACTCCCCTGGCAGCAATGAGGTCAAACAGAGCCCTGTGCAGGTCAGAGCACACACACAGGCACAGAGACACACACACACACGCACAACCAAAGTGTTGCTTTGTCAGAATCTGTATAATATTAGGCCCCTTGCTGCTGCAGCTTTGCCTTCACCAACTTGCCACGTCAACTACACAGTATGGTAGGCACATAGTTCTCTCTCGCTCTCTGTGTGTCTGTGTCTCTTTCTCTGAGTGCATGTGTGTGTGATTGTTAATGTGTGCGTGTGTGTATGTGTGAATGAGGTCTTTGTAGTGATTGGGTACTGAGCTGTTTTCAGAGTTGAATTCCACAATAAGCATAGTGAGTGGGGTTAGCTGGAGTGCAGGGAAGACACTTAAGGAGGACACACTCATACACAGACAGTACACGCACTGTACACACACACACACACACATTATTACTATCTGTGTAGGTTGATGAATATCCCACATGACATTACGTTCTGGCAGTTCTTTACGTTTATGCGATGTGATTTGTAGCCAAGTCTCATATCAATAAAGTGGGGCCATGGGTCTACTAGAGAAGCGAGCAGTCCCACTATTGCCCTGCTCTACTCCTTAACGTGCCAAATGATAAACAGACATCTTGACCATTGCGGTATTGGAAATAAAGAAAGAGATGGAAGGGAGAGACGGATAGACGTGAGTCAGAAACAAGGATAAGGTCAGATTTCTTTGCAGTTTTGGCAGACAGTTTGGTGCTTCCGTGTAGGACTAACTTTTTACATCAAAAGCTGATTAAACATTGTCCACCATCAACATGGAGACAATTATATTTAAAAATATATTCTGCAACATTTACATGCAAGTGAAAGAGCATTTTCATTTGGTCACATAAATATTGGGTGTTGGCTCGTGTTTGTCCAGGAAAACTCCTCTGGTGCAAAGGGACTACCTTCCATACGTCCAGTAGCAGAAAGGGGGGCTGTTTGAAATAAACAGAGCTTCGTGTTGAATATGAACACCAGTGGCCCACATAACAGAGCTGAAAAAGAAAAAAATGGTCACCTAGCACTCATCAACAACACAAAGACCAAAGAAAAATGATTTGTAGTGTCGGCCACATAGTTTAATTGCCAACTGACCCCAGGAAGTGCAAAAATGCCTCAGAATTAATGACAATGTCAGAAAGGAACGAACATTTTAAAGGGCGGGGGATGGGGAGTTCTAGAGGATTACACTCAAATCCAAACTTGAATTTACATCAGAGTCCCTTTCTTTACTTCGGCAGTTATATAAATAACTGGCAGTTGTATAAATTACATGGTGACCCATATGGATGAGAATTATGAGAATTAAAATAAACAGTTTTATATCAGTACAAAATATTGCAGAGATTACAATTGCAAACTGGATGAAATGTGGCCATCAGTCACAGTAGTTCAGCCATCCACCTAAAGTGTGGTCTCCTCCGACTCTTCTTATCTTCGAATCTTATCAGACCGTCACACATGCTTTAATTCATCATTTGCGGTCCATCCAAATGGCTCGGTGTGTGTCTTTGGTCAAACACACACCGGACGCTGTGGTTTAGGGTGGTATTTTAATGAAATGTTGCAAATGACTCATCTTAAAAACAAATAAATACCCAGAGAGAGAGTGGGGTAAGAGAAAGCGAGTGCGCAGAGGAAACTACACAGTTTCAACTCTCTCTGCCTTAAACACACACACACAGGCACACACCACGCTATTCTCATTCCACATCTGTCTTGTTTGTCTTGTTTGTTGTTGCCTGGCCTCTCGAGCCTCTCTGGACTCTCCAGGGCATCAACGCTACATCTCTGTCGTCTGAGCTGTCAGTTCTCATGGCCCTACGAGAGGATTTAGATTTGTGTGTGTGTGTTCGTACTTGGAACCTCGCAGTCAGAAACACAGACACTAACCCACAGCACAAAGCGTTGTTTGATTGACCTTACAACAAACCTGACTACGAACGTGGCGCACAGAAACGTTTTGATTAATTTCTAGCTTTATTAATTATTTTAGGATCGAGGCAACATCCCTCAGTTGCTGTAAATGAAGCAATCCTCCGTCAGCCACAGAGAGGAAGAGGGAGCAATTGAATGAGAGAAGCTAGACACTTAATCTGGTCATTTCTAAAGGTGGCGGGCAGCAACTATAGGCTGACACAGTGGCTCACATCAGGCACAAAATGGCCGTCCTCGGGTTGCTTCCTGCTGGGCTGTTCTCACACATGCAAATGAGCCTGAGCCAATAATGAGATCTTTAGGAACTCGATAATTAGATTTTTCCCTTCTCTCTGAGGGAGAACGACAGGGAGAAAGGGAAGACTTCTATTTGTGTCTTGACTTCTCTGGAGAAGCCTGGGTCTGCCCTGACGCCCCCCTCCCTGTCCCCATCATATTTCTCTTCTTTTCTTTATTTATAATAGAGGGGAGGATCTCAGCTAAGACCAAAAGAAACTCTGAGATTATATCTGCTTTTTGATTGGTTGTGCAGAGATGGTCTCTGTGTTTGGCTGTGTGAGATGCTATCAATCCACTTTGTGCGTGCGCGTGTGTCACTGTCATGTGTCACATACAGGAGAAACTCGACAATAGCTCAAGTCTCTAGACAGGCAATTGCTGGAAAAATTGATTGTGTTCAACAAAATATAGCTTCAGTTGCTGAAATGATGTGAGGGATTATTTGGAAGTTTGATGATTCAAGGCTCAAGAGGATCTCTAATTGGAGGTCAGAAAATACATTTTAGAAATCTAAATAATGATTTATAATAATACCGGTAATAATCACCTTTGACTTGTTTACTCGACACACAGAATACTGCAAAATAAATTGGTGATTTTTAATAAAGAGGTTAAAGAAAATAGCAATGAATGTATTTCCTTCATTCAGTTATTCCTGACTAAGTATAAGTAAAAAAACTTCCTGAAAGGTTGGTTGTCATGCCCCAGTGCTATTTGGATCCTGTCGCTCTTTTGCTGTATCTTTACAGTATTAGGAAGTTATAGTAATTGGTCGTGGCACACGTGCCACCAAGAGAATTGGTTGACACACATTTGGCCGACGGAGTGCCAATTGGCGGATTACCCAGCATGATCCGTAGCATGCCTCCATGACCCGCCACACGTTCTCTACAATGGGCGTACTTGGCACATGCTCGTGCACTGGGTGGGCACAAGCAGACACATATACACCCACTTGGCAGACGCACGCCTGGCACACTTAACACACTGCCACTTGGCATGCACACATACAGATTATCGCACATGCTTGGCCGCGGCCCATACGTATGTAATTGAATAGCGTGGTGTCCTGTTTTCATGTATTATTGAGGCGCTCATTTAATTAGAAAAAAAATGAAAAGACTCATTAGCGATATGTTAATTAGCTTGCCTCCCTGCTCTCTGGAGAGGGCTGGCACCCGTCTAGTAGGATTGAGTAAGAGAGGGAATCATGCCGGAAACAAGAAACTGAGTCATGCCAGTCTTATGAGGGAGTGTTTATTTCAATGAAAACACTTTTAATCAATATTATAGCTATAATTCATCAGTTTTTTATGAATATACTGCTGCAAAATAGATTTTGGCCTTCCGTAGCTACCTTATTTAAAACCACTATAGATTTGAAAAAAGTACTGATTTTGAGGCAGTGTTTTAACTAATCAACAAAAGTGTGTGGAAAGTGTTTCCTCCCCTAGAGTCTGCGGCACTGAAGCGGTTCCTTCTCTCCCCCTCTTTTATTTCCTTTCAGAGTGTTTTCCCAAAGCACTCCTTTTGTCCACTCAATAAAAGTGCTTAGTTGGCAGTTTCCCTTATTCGATGTGGAGGGAATTGGGCTGCGCACGTGTGTGTTGGGGGGTAGTATGGGGTCCTGACAGTTTGTGAAGGGTGCACGGGAGGCGGTTGAGCAGCCGGTGGAATGGGTTTGGCTCTGGGCAGAGGGGTGGACAGACAGAGGCGAAAGGACGCAGAGGAGAGGTTTGGGTCTGGCCGCTGGAGTGTGAAACTCTTGTTTTGTGATTTGAAACATGAGTGAAATCAGTAATGAAATATGGTCGATAACGGTCTCTCACACTTCCCAAAGAAATGCCCTGAGTGTGTGTGTGTCCGCGTGTGTGTTTCTGAAAATGTGTTGTCATTTTTATTCTGAAGCACTGGCGCGTTAGATGGAGGGAGACGGCGGACGAACAGGAGAAGGGAGGGAGAGAGGGTGGGGAGGAGGATTTTCCACTTGAACTTGCTGGTCTTTCACTGTCCTCTCTGAAGTTTTTTTTCTCGTTTTTTTTTGTCATTTGTCTGGCCCCTGTCAGTGAGGGCTGAATGTTCTACGCGGCCACATGCATTGTGTATGTGTGGCTATGTGAGCATAGAACAATGTCCAGGTCAGGCCAGTCGAGATCCCAACTCCCTGCTCTCAGCAGCCTGTGTTCCTCTGCGAGCTCAGGTCCGTCTACCAGCAAACCTTAAACAATCATTTTTATCAAATCATCCAACTTTGCATGCCTGCATCCATACATCCATTCATCCTCCTTAACTACAATCCACTTTAGTCTTAGAAACCTGCCGAAAGACACACTTGCAAGTGTTAAATGAAGCTAGATATACTGTTTATAATATTCAATATTTCAAATAATGTTAGTATACTGTACATAAGTGAAAACGTACCTATTGCTTATAGTATATTCCTGGAAGTTTCAAGAATCTTGAGCAGTGAAAAAAGTGAAGAATAAATGTAAACTTTGTTCAACATTGTAACGTCCTGTTAGCACAGTGATACATGTAGGGCTGCAACAACGAATCGATGAAATCAATAAAATTTGATTATTAAAAGTGTTGGTTTTGACGTTAAAACAAATTCTGATTTGTATTTTTCTTTATCTTTTATAGATTATTATGTTCAAGGAGCAACCTGTACTTTTTTTTCACATCGTTTGTTTGGCACCAGTTTACATACACATATTGTTTGTAGACACAGACAGACTCATGACTCAGCTAAAATGAGGCCGTTTTCATCCTCAACCCCACCTGGCTTTGCTCATCAGTTCCCCCCAAAGTAATGTGACCCCTTGGCCCGCTGCAGAAAAGCTGGCGGAGGGATACTCACCGCACACAATGGGGCCCATTTACTTCCAGTGGAGGCCCGGCCCTGAGATCCAAACAACGCTCTCAGCACAGTGGGCGCTCCTTCCATTTCTCCATTCTCCATTCAAATGCTTTTCTCCTTCAATCCTCCGCTTTTCTCTTTCTACCCCCCATGCTCTATCCCACCCCCACCTCATGCCCTCCTCTCATTTCTTGGCACGATAAGCACAGACAAGCTGTTTACCTGGGGGGACCGGAAGATGGTGATAGTGATGATAGCTGATGAATAAACCAGGAGTTTACCACACACCATTAAAGCCTCTACACACCAAGGCACATGGCCAACTGTATTTTAAACGGGAGGCTCTCCTTTCCCCCCTCCCTCCACCCCTCCAGCCTGCAGTCAGTTAATGTTGCAGAAGAGAAGAGGGCAGTGCTGTTGCCATGTGCACGAAGAAGCATAGATATTAACCTTTCATACCACTGCTGCTAACGTGTCAAACTTTGTCCCACCAGACAGGAAGCTTATGGCAATAGTGACATCCAAAAAAGATTTGAATATTTGTTTAGAAAGGATGCCAGAAGAAAAGAAAGAAGGTCATAGCAGGTTATTATGGAGTGAACAAAAGACAGAGGCACAGGTTTTTATGTGCTTGGAGGTGTGTGTGTGTGTCTTTGCGCGTTTGTGTGTGCGTGTGTGTATTTGACAGGAGGAGAGGCAGGCGTCCCTTCCAGGATAAGGTGGTAATGCTCAGTGACAAGGATAAACAGCGTTGGGGTTTGCTCCTACCAGGAGAGGAGGAGGAGGAGGAGGAAGGGGAGGGATGAAGGAGGTCTGTGTCAGCCTCTCTTTCCTCCTCCTGCTTTCTCCTCTGTCATTTTTTCAATTATCCCTCTCTCCTGCGTGTCCCCATAGACCCGGCGGCAGGGCCCGCATCGTTTAGACTGAGAGCCTGTTTAGATTCTGATTATAGCCTCCTTTCTTCTCACTACTCACTGCTGTCTCTCTGACCCACACACACACACACGCAGCCAGCGTGAGGTGAATAACTGGATAAGTAAATATTTCTGTTTACGGCACACTGGATGTTGCTCTTTTATAAACTGTCACACAGTTTGTGTGTTTGATCTTTTTTATGCATTAAGTGGTGCGAAAGGACACTGTTTTTTTTGTCCCATATGTCAATTAGAAAGAAGGAGAAGACCTGAAATCCAAAGTTCGCTCCTAAATAAGAGAAGATGCAATCATATAACCAGCCTTATAAACATGGTGCTGAAGCGCACTGGGCTTATTCCCCCAGCTGCATGCCGGTTTAATATCAGACAGTCCTCCTTCCTCTCTCTCCGAAGGTTCCATCTGAAATGGAAAATGGGGCTTTCCTCCTCGTTAGAATGAAAAGTCATCAAGGGAAGAGAGGAGAGAAGGATTTAGGCTCATTGAAATGCAAGTTACATCCCCCTTCTTTCTCTCCCTGCGCTCCTCGGGGACTCCATGCCTTTCTCCTTCTTCTCCTTCCCATCTTCAGGGCGCTCCTTCGCTCCCTCTCTCCCTTTGTTAATCAGTTAAACTCCCTCTTCAAACAACCCCTCTAATTACGCTTCCACTCACTGTAAACGGCAAGGCTGTCTCCCGCTCCCCCTCGCCTCCCCACTCCTCCCTTCGTCCCTCCCGCTCCTCTTCTCCCAATCTCCAAGACAGCGGTTGACCTCTGTCAGCCACCAACCCCTCAGCAGTGTGTGCGTGCGTGTGTGTGTGTGTGTGTGTGTATCAGTGTGTGTATGTAGGCACGGACTGTAGTTCACGACTAATTCTTGCCTTTTAATTGTAGTGGTGCCATCTTAGGTTTTAAAATCCTAGTGTCATTGGTAGTTCAACTGAGACAATTATCTAACAACTGGTGTATAGGACTCTGCGATTGTTCACTTGCATTTGTGTGAGTCTTCGCTGCCGCAACCATCTCAGGGTCTAGGCCTAATTTATCCGTCAACAAACCTGCAGTGTAGGTTTTGCTTTCTCGCCCTCTCTCTATTCTGCAATCATTACTTCCTCTCTTCTTCCTTCTCCTTCATCCTTTCTTCCAGTGTGGATCGTGTCCTTCCCTCTCTGCCCCCCCCCCCCCCCCCCCCCCCCCCCCCTCTCCACAACCCCCCAGGCTTCACCTCTCTCCCACTAATCTGCTACGCATCTCTCTCTTTTAAATTAACATACAACATGAAAAAATGGAAACGACAGCAGGGGGAAAGAAATTTAAATGCATTTAATAAATGGCTGACTTCAAATCGCCCGGCTTTTCAGACTGTCCCTATTCACAGTCCAATGAAAGGGGAGAAATCATTCACCGGGAGAGACAAAGCCGAATGAAAATATAATTCTGCATTGTGAAGGGCTTTTGTCTTGGCCCGTCAAATCGCTAATGGTGAGGCTTTTGTTTTGTGGCGGCACTCTCAGGCTAGCGGTGTCGTATGGCGGTGGCAACGCGTGCCCCATAATCACCACGCTTTGTGATATTAGATTATAGGGGCAATTAATGGCGTCAAACCTTAACTACTCAGCATTCAGCCTGCCACACACACATTCAGCCTTTAAACACACGCTCGCTTGCACACAAAAGCACACACACATGCATGACAGTAAATCAGCACTTACCCACATGGGCGTGCGTTCGCTTCTGGCGTCACAGCGTCAGCCAACACACAGAAAGGTGCTATAACTCAGTAATTATTACGCCTGTGACTTGAAAATGTCAATGGTGGTGTGTATAAAATAGAATGTATGAGTTGTCAAGGGGGAAGAATAGGATGCACAAGAGCAATTAATTATAGCTTTTCATTTGGCAGCTTAGACTGACAGGGCCCGGTGGCGGGGGGCAAGCTGGCATGACGCCAATCGGCACCCATTACCACTTCCACTGTACTCACGCCCCCCCCCCCCCCCCCTTTGCTGGCTCCTTTACCAACTGCCACGACATCACCCTTCCCCTGCCTAACTCGGACTCTTTCCTTCATCTCCCTCAGCTCATACAAAAAACAAACACACACACACACTCTTGCGTCAGATCTCATTTATCTACACACACCTGATTCTCCGTCCCCTCGCCGTTACATGGGGATGTTTAGTTATTGATGGCTGCTTTGATAGAGGCAGAGTATCGGCCCACTGACAGACACAGTGAGAACAACAGACGGAGGGGAGGGGGAGACAGAGGCCAGGTGGTAAAGAGGGTGTTGGTATTTATGGCCAATCTTGTTTACAAAGTCAAATCGGTTCTTTACAAATTTAATTTAGTGTCAACTTGTCTTCTCTGATGCTTGCTGCACTGCATAATTCCCGGCTCCCATCACCCTCCCTACCTGCCGTCACTCAGGTGCTGAGTAGATAGACTGCTCTGAAGAGAGCTTCTGCATACACTGGCAGACACACAGTTTGACCATGAGAGATATTTCACTACGGGGTAAAAATAGATAAACGGACAATTTCAGAGGTGATAACTCACCCTTGTATCCCTCCGCAAAGTGGCCATCCCCTCTTAATAGACAGGATTATTTGTATTGAGAAGGCAGTATATTTTATTGATTGGCTCAATCTCACCGCCCTTTCTCTCCATAAATATCTCTCTGTGTTTCTGAACACCAAAGTCTTTCTATTCTCCGTATTGTTTTCTTAAAGCTTGATTCAGTTAACAATCACAGAACCCCTTTGTCAGCATTTTTTGTTTCAGTTTTTAATCGTAGATTTATGCATTTCATGTAAGTCTCTTGGTTTTGGATTTATGTGGTGAGTTTGTCTTTAGTTTCTCAGTGTTTGTCATCCGATTAGTGTTTCAGATTCCCATCTCCGTGCACAGTGCTTGCACAACACATCCGCAAAATTCACTATGTTTCTTTCTACTCTCACTGCCTCTTCTCTCTCTTTCTCTCTTTTCCTGTGTTGCTCTGTATTTTCCTGCATGCAGCTCTATCTGATGAGATGTCTATCTCATCAGATAGCCACTTTGTTGTTCCTTTCTTCTTAGCCAGCCTTGACTGTGTGGAAAGAGAATCAGAGGCCGTCCTAATCATGTATTTATAAAAGCAGATAAGATTTTATTTTTTATTGGGAGATTGCAAAGCTGTCCTTTTATCTCCCTGTTGTCACGGCAATTGCCAGTTACTTTTATTTGTAACAATGCCAGCCTTGTGAATGAAAGTGATGCGTCTGTCTATTTAACTTTATCTGATGTTGCCAGCTTTTCTTAGCAGTGACTGACAACAGAGAATTATAGACAGCACACCTCTCTAGCTTTACCTGTCCATACCAGCCTACTGTACAACCTCCATTCACATGTTTGTTTTGAGTGGAGTGTTTAGTTGCAAGCACGGTCATGCTTAATTCTCTCTGTGCCGGCTGGGCCTTTTCACACGAGCTGAACCCATTGATTGTGTTGTCCTGGTAGTATGTGAGAGTAAATCATCTAAAATATCCCTGTGCTGTCTTTAGGTGCCTGTGTCTATGGCAATGATGAGTCCACAGATGATCACTCCTCAGCAGATGCAACAGATCCTGTCCCCCCCTCAGCTTCAGGCCCTGCTGCAGCAACAGCAGGCTCTAATGCTACAGCAGGTAAGGCACACGCACGCACGCGCACACACACAAACATATTCACACACGCTCTGATTGGACTCGTTCCCAGGCCAGCATGTGGGTGTCTGTTTTTGAAGGCGCTGATACACACTGGGTGTGATTTGATCTTATTCAATGCTATGAGATCTTTGAAGATATTTACGCATCCACATATCCACTAGGAGAATATGCATGCCTCTGTAGACATGTATATAGAAAATACACACACTTTTTCACTTTAATAGCATCATCCACTACATCATAGTGAGTCAGAAGTGTATGTGTGTGTGTGTGTGTGTGTGTGTGTGTGTGTGTGTGTGTGTGTGTGTTGATTCCCAGCAGGTGAGAGAGAGGTTGCTGTGTTGACACAAACCAATAAACACTCATCATCTGCAACCGCACTAACTTGTAACCTACAGACGCACTCACACAACCTTGTAAAGGATGTGATGAGGACTATTAACAGAGTGTGGATGGAGAAGTAATTACCACATACTAGATGTCGAGAAAACACATACATACACACACGGGCGAAAGCAGAGTGCAGAGTATATATAATAAGGAGAGAGTATGGATTGCAAGTGGGAAGATCTAACAAAGTGTTTCATAATGATGGAAATGTGAAATGTGCTTGCTTTCTGAAAACAGACTGTTGAGAACCTCTTCACCAGTTTTTCCCTAATGAGGAAAAAGGATATTGGGGGGTTTATAATGCACACTCACTCACATAGACACACACACACACACACACACACACACACACACACACACACACACACACACACACACACACACACACACACATACACGCGCACAGACATTACATCCCCACTATTAAAACCACTGAGTTCAACATTGCTTTCCCACTTAATTAACCACAGTATGGACTTGCTCTTAGTGTATATCTGCAAATCAGGCACTTTTACCCTCCCCCACACACACACACACACAATCAACCAACATATCACTCACTGGAGCATTACATTTCATATCCCCATGGCAATACAGCATTGTGTAAGAGTGTGTAAGTATGGTTTACGGCCCACTGCTGCACAGCTGTGTGTTTGTACGGCCGCTCCTTTGTGTATTTGCGTGTCTGTTTTAACCTTTAAGTTTCTTCTAACCTTTACTCATGCTACAGCTGCTCCGCCTTTCTTTCTTAGTGTGTTCACTAAAGTCAAGGTCATGGTAATAGGCTGGAGAGGTGATTGCCTCACTTACACATACTCTTAATGCACGAAGCCACTGAATCAAATCATTAAAAATACCTTAATTATCACTTAATTATTCCCTCAACTCGCCACTCTTCAGTCAGGAGTGTGTGCGCATGTGTGTGTGCTTGCATATGCATTTGTCTATGTGACGAGGGGGCGATCAGGGCTATTGACGTGGAAAAGAGAGATTACCTCAGGCCTAAGGAGCGATAAAAGAGAGGAGAGACAGATAGAAAAGAAAGAGCAGCAGGTAGGAATGAGTTGTGCATTTAAAATAAATAAAGCACAAGCTGGCACAAAATAACAGTACATTGTGGCTAGGATAAGATTGAAGCTGGATATGTAAAACAGCTTTGCACAAAAAGAGGAGGACCATCTCATGATACAGACTGTGTTCCAGGAGGGGTGGCGGTATGCAGTCTGCTCACTGTGGGGTCAGACGGATGAGAGATCGAAACAACTGCAGCACTGTGAAGCCATTTCTGCTGAAAAGCCTCTTTGAACATTTGACGCGCCATGAAACAAAGACAAACTGCCGACGGACACATCTACAGGCTGTTCTCAAGAGCATAACTAACCCCCCCCCCCCCCTCCCACACACAGACACACAGGCACACGTTCTCTGTGGTCAGAGTACGTTTTCCTGTCCGCCTTGCTTGACTAAGATAAGAATCTTAATGGAGCTTCCTAAGTAAATTAGTCATTAGTAACTCAAACAAACAGAGGTTCCAAGCTCTGGCCAATGTGTGTGTGCTCTATTTTTAAATTAGTCCAGTTAGCATTCAATTCAATTCATTTTATTTTATTTTACAAATTACAAATTTGCCTCAGATGGCTTTACAGTCTGTACACATGCAACATCCTCTGTCCCTAAATCCACACATCAGCATAGGAAAAACTTCCACCCTTCCATTGGGAAAAAAGGGAAGAAACCTTATGGAGAACGTCAGTGGAGGGATCCCTCTCCCAGGATGGACAGACTACAATGGATGTACAGAATGAACAATGTAAAATATGTACAATACATTGAATTCCTATAACAGAAATGATTCAAATAATTGCGAGGAGTAAGCCAGGTGTACGACAGGACCTCTGCAGGGACAACCACCATCCACAGAAGCCTGTGGGGAAGGAAAGCACGACGACTTTAGGAAAGGGTAATGTTGGTTTATGATGACAGTAATAGCAAAATGATTAGTATTTAAAATAATAATAATAATGCTGATGATGATAGCAGCAGCCGATGTCAGCAGGGCCACGGCAGGAGGCAGGAACAGGGTCCAGATATAACCATGATCCATGGAAACCTGTGGGGCGAGAAAGCACAAATACTCATTAATGTTCACAATAGAAATGGGAATATCAATGGTGTTAAAAGCGGTAGGTGTCCGCAGGGCCAGGTATTGCAGTCTATTTTGTTACAGCGAAGAAAATGCTAGTTACTAGGGGTGGGGGAAAATTTTTCGATTTCTCTCGATTCTCTCTAGAACGATTCTGTCTCGATTCAGAAAAGTTAATAATCGGAATAAAAAAATAAAAATAGTCTGTCTCGCGCGAGCAAAAGTCCGTCGAGATATTTGCTCGCTCACGGAGCGTGAACTCACTCGCGAGGTTAATCTCTGCTCGCGCTCGAAGGTGTTTTCTACGCGCTCGCTGTTTTTCTTTTTGACAGTAAGGGGGCGGAGCCAGTCACCATGGTCTCTACACCTGATTGGTTACAAACCCGTCTTTGGATTGGCTGGAGTGATGCATTCACACAACTATCGAAATTATGAGATAAAACGTTGTCAAAAAACAAATGCCCCCCTTCGGTAATCGTAGTGGGCCGTAGATGACAACCAGCTATAACCATCATTTACCATCATTACCGGCACATTAAGAGCAATGCGTCCAGCTCGCAGACCGGTCCGTCAGTCTGAATCTGAATATCTTGCCAACTTCACCGAACTATGGAGGAGCCTGCGCATATCTTACCTCATTATTTCAATTTTCCAAAAAGTCGATCCGTATTGAAAGTGTGCAAGATATTCACAGATTTTGACTTTTTTCCGGTATTTTACAAATACGGACCGGTCTCAGACTAAGAGCAGCTTTTTCTTCATTTAAAAGAAAAATGAATCTGTTTAATATTTTTTTAGGCTACTTCCATATTGTGTTGAAATGCAAGCTGCATATTTTTTCTCTTATAAAAAATTAGAGAAGGTAATTCATCTGTTGATTTTCTTTGATTATCAAATAAAGTAGGAAGTGATTAGCAACCTCTGAGTAGCTGTTTTTCAGAAAATTTAGAAAATCGAGATACATCAATAATCGTTTTATCAGTTTAGAATCGATAATCGATTTAGAATCGGAATCGAATCGAATCGTGAGGTGCCAAGAGATTCCCACCCCTACTAGTTACAGTAAAAAACACAGAGAACAGCAGTCACAGTGCTCCTAATCCATCACACACACACACACATGCATGTGCACACACAAACACAGACACACACTTTCAAAGCAGGTGTTTTATGACAGCAAAACAGTGAATTCAGTAATAGCTGGCTTAAACATTTAACGTGTTTAGTCCAGCCCTGCGCAGTCATGCAGACTGTGTGTAGGTGTGTGTGAGTGTGTGCATGTTTATATGTATGTAGCCTCCTGGACTTCAAATACATTTTCTTTCTTTTCTGATCATGTTGGCTTGTGTGTGTGCAGATGTCTCTCTGGACGGTTGCCTGTCTAGATCGCACTGCCGTTTGATCCTTACAAGCTGCGTTTCAACTGAATAATCCAGGCGGGTCCAGCATAATGCTGACATACACTATGACTTTACAACACAAATTGACTCACCACAACAGCGCCATTATATTCTTCAGTAGTCGGTTTGTCAGGTCTGGGTTTGCTTGTTGTGGTGTGCGTTTTTGTCCACACAACAATAAAGTTCGCACTTCACAGAGACGGGGGGCGACTGAATTCCTCCAGACTCCGGTTCAAGTTACGGGGCCTGACATTTGCTTCCCGCTCCTGCTTTTGGAAGACTGTGCTGTTGTTGAGGTTGATACCAAGTGTTGAGACTCATTCATATTTCACCATCTTCTCAAACCCTTACCCCTGCCTCCCCCTCTCTGTGTCTGTCTCTAGTTACAGGAGTATTACAAGAAGCAGCAGGAGCAGTTGCATCTCCAGCTTCTGAGTCAGCAGCAGCAGCAGCAGCAACAGCAGCAGCAACAACAGCAACAGCAACAACAGCAACAACAGCAACAACAGCAGGCCGGGAAGCAAGCAGCAAAAGAGGTGAACTTCACCAAGTACACACTCACTCAGCTCAAGTACACTCTGAAGTACACAAGTGCCCTTAAACGCGGTGAAAGTGGTTGACATGGGAGCCGGCATAAGGAAGAAAAAGATCACACGGAGGACCAAATGTATGGAATACATATCAATTCTCTTTTCCCATCTCTCTCCTCATCTCCTTTTTCTCTATATTATTGTTGAGTGTACTCAGCTTATCCCTAAACAAAACTTGGATATAGGTTTTCATTGCATCCACCAGCATGCCATGTCGATGCTGTGCCAAGCCTTACGCTACCATGCCAAAGAACTCATTGCATACCTTCAGCTATAAGCCTGAGGAGAAATCTGTATGGAGGGTCTGCCACTCTTTTAATTGTCAATTAACCCCCCGCCAGCATTAGGAGCCTCCCCTTCTCTTTTCTCTCTATCACTCATACAAAAATCCTCACACACATACCAGGTTTAAACACAGAACGATTGCAGAGGATCAACTACGACAAAGAGGATCTCAACCGATCGGGCAAGATTACTGTCATAACCTGAGTGTGTGTGTGTCTGTTTGTGCATGTGTGTACTGTATAACAGAGACGTGTTATGTGAATGCTCATTCACCCGGATTACCGTACACACACGGGGCCATGCGGGAAACAAACTTAGGGAGGAGTGCATCATGAGACTCTTTCTGATAAACGCATGAGGAGACATATCCTAGATTTCTCCTCCTCTTCCTCATCCACTCTCTCCCAGTGGAAAGACCCCCTCCCGTCCCCCCCACAAACTCCTCGCCGACAGCGTTCAACCAACTCGACCGTGACCAAAGCAAACCAGTTGTGGTTGACTCGCATGTTGAGAGGGTGTCTGATTCGCTTTCCCTTCCTCACTCCTCGCCGCTGCTGTCCCAGTTTTCAGGTTTGTTGTCCTGTAACAACTAGACAAGTGCAAACACTGGTCACACAGCTACACATATATGCAGGGAGGGGGGGGCTTGATGTGTGACGGTTCACTGCACAAACACATACACTTGAGGGAATATGTCTCCCCACAGAGCTGCATACAGCTGATATGATGAAGGCCATTTCCAGCAGTCAGTGTTTTTCAGTCGCAGCAAGCCCTCAATCAAAGCCCAGAACACCTTTTTAGTCTCCTCTCATATCCCTCGTGGTCAAGAGGCTGCTGCCAGACATTGAGGCAGGGACAGTTTTCATTAATGTAACGTTTATACTGTTTGTAAGTCAGTTCTACAATGAAAGATAACAAGATATGAGCTAAGAATATTATATCCTGAGCTATAAACTGCTTGTCAGAGTAGTGTCGGACGGACTTGTTTTGGACGAGGATTTGAACTAACTTCAGATTCCAGTGGGCCTTGAACTCACGCAGAAAACAAGAGAACAGGAAGAGACAAAGAAGACAGCGGAGGAAGGAAGGAGAAGGAATAAGACAATCTCTCCTTGCCTTTTGTGCTTGAGCGGCTGTGAATGTTTGGCCTTTTTCTTCTTTTCCTGCAATTCTTCTTCACTCTCTTGTCTGCGTGGAAGTGATGCATTGAAAGCGTATGTATGTGTATGTTGAGCCAGTGTTTGTGTGTGTCGCCGCTGCAGTTGGGACTGGTCAGGAGTCAGCTTAATGAAGTGACTCTGACCACCACAAGAGATGTGTGTATGTGTCTGTGAGTGTCTTTCTATATGTGTGTGCATGTGTATGTGTGTGAATCTGTGTGACTGGCAGGCTCAGACAGTGTGTGATGTGCTCATAAATCACATTGACAGCCTGTTACTGCGCTAGCTTTGGCCACTCAGCCACAGCTAATGTAAACAGAACACAGGCACACACACACACACACACACACACACACACACACACAATGTGTGTTTTAAAGAACCGTAGCCATATCTCAAGAGGGAATGAGAGACAAGGGGGAGTGAAGGATGTAAAATGGACAGACAAGTAGAAAAAAGGGGCAGTGGCACTGGAAAGAAAGGAAAAAGAGCCAGACGGGAGGAACCAGTTCATTCAGTACATCTGATCAGTTCACTTGAAAGAAGCGAATCATGTAAGCATGTCAGAGATTGTGTCATCTTATCTCATGCCTTTGACAAAATTTGCTCTGGTCAAAGAAGAAAAAAATTCTGGGCTGAGTAAAATGTTTTTTATTTGTTGAAATAAAGTTGAATCTAATCCAATCTAAAAAATGTTTTTTATTGTGGTCATAGATTTGTAAACAGTTTTTGTTTATTATGGATTCATCATGTGTAGCCACAGTTATCCAGTTAATACAGTAAAATATACACCAAATGCTTTTGAACAAGTGCATACGGAAAATTGTGTTTTCCCCCTTCATCTACTGTGTTTTTCTTCTATCAAGAATAGTTATTGTACTTACTCCTTTGAACCCCCCTTCCCTCTCACACCTCTCCAACGGACACTACTCTCTCTAACTCTCACACACAAACACACTGCCATCACAATTCTTCTCCCCTGGCACTAAGTCTGAAAGGAAGTGACCCATTTGCCCTTCCTGTGAGATCCCCTCTGTTCAAAGAGTTCCAGGCTGCCACTCTCTCTCTCACTCGCACACACACGCACACACAATGAGCAGTTCCTCACGTTGTATTTATTTATTTTTCCTCTCCACTAGTTATCTTTTAGAGATAAAGTCCATCTCTCTTGGGGGTTGGTCGGGTGGGACTTCAAACAGTGCAGCACAGGCCAGATTTGCCCCAGACTGGGAGGCCAGGAAAGGGGACATTTATCACTGTAACACACACCGACATTATCGCCACGTGCCTTGTTCTCTCTCCCACTCTCCCTTCAACCTCCCTCCTTCTCTTCATCCTCAGGGTCCTCACGGCTCGGCTCTGGGCTTTTCTTCCTTTTAATACAGGACTTTTACTTATTTTATATGGTGTTAGTTGACTCTATACTTGAATTTTTTGAGACTGAATGATGTAATGGGACAAGCAGAGCAATTGGGATCATAATAACAGAACAGGGAAAGGCTTCCTTTTAGATGTAAAAGAGAAAATTCCAAATCAAGGGCAGCTGTCTAAATCTGGTATTTAGTTCAAAGCTGCAATTAACAAATGTGACACTTTCACAAAATTCTATCCTAGTCAGTTTTTAATGGGTAGAAGCAGATATCTGCAGGTATTCTTTCATGGTTTTTGTTCCAAAATCAGCAGAGGGCTTACTAATACAAATTTTGTACAAATACCTTAGTTGGTTGCTAGCTGAACAAGGATCAGTAGGTGCTTTAGAAATATTACACAATTTAGGTGTTTTTTAGAATTGATAGAAATATTTCAGTAGGAGGAGGGATACAAATCTGGTTGAAGATATTACAAAGCAAGTGGTATATGAAAACCTTTCTTAACCGCTGTCTTTGATCCCCAGCAGTTAGGCAGTAAGCAGTTGGCCTTCCAGCAGCAGCTCATCCAGATGCAGCAGCTTCAGCAGCAGCACATCCTCAACCTCCAGAGACAAGGCCTGGTCCCACTGCAGCCCACCGCTGCCATGCAGTCTCTGCAGCAAGGTACGTACGCATGCTCACACACACATTTATACACAGTACACAACTGTAATGAAACAAAACTCAATCACACATGGTCTTAGCTGATAGCAAACACACACACACACACACACACAAATACAGGCATGTACCCAAAGCTGCATGTGAAGCCTGTTAAGTTAATCAGCCAAGAAAAAAGATAAAGGGAAACTTGATTGGTGGGCTTGTGGAAGGTAGTCATTTGGATAATAAGTAAAATATGCCAGTAAGCCCCCTGCTCGGAGGTATGTTCACGTGTTTGCCTAAGTGTGTGTAAGCTTGAGTGTACGTGTACTTGAGATTAGCCAGACACAAGAACATCGTCGTTTTGCTGTTGCTTTGTCCACTGGGCATTTTTGTGGCTGTATGTACCTTCTCTCCCAGTCCCCCTCATTTTGTCTTCCCCCCATCGGTCTGATCTCTCTCTCTCTCTCTCTCTCTCTCTCTCTCTCTCTCTCTCTCTGTCTCTCATGCTCAGTCATCTGCAGTCACACACAAGTTGACGCTCTAATAGTCACTCTGTTGTCTCAATCTGTAAAAAATACAACACATTTTTCAGAAAGTTCATTTTCTATAAGCCTGATTGCCTGATGCATTAAAACTTAAGTGTGATGTTTGCATCGGTATGTTTATGTGTTAGGGGAAAGGTGTGTGTGTGTGTGTCCACTGGAGGCTAAGTGGAATTACCAAATCACAGAGAGTACAGAGTACTCCACAGAGTGGATACAAATGAAAAGAGGGAGGCCAAAGTCTTGCATAAAAAGGTGTTTGTTTTTTGGACAGTTGCAAACATTTGCTTTTGGCATCTCCTTCTTTTTCTCTCTCTCTCTCTCTTTCCCTCCATATCAGAGTGGAATTTCCCTGCAGTGTGAAAGAGCCGGTCCATTGTGACGGCTCAGCCAGGCGTGAGCCAGAGCATTCCTCTGACCAGCCATGCCACACAAACACACAAACACACATGCATAAACACTTGCACCTATGCACACAAATGTACACGTTATTGCCCCGCCTCAAAGGGCCGTTGTGTCCGGTGGGTAGCTGGTGGGGGGTTACCCTGAGGGGAGGGGTCCTGCTGTTATATTTATTTCTGTTAATAAATAGCGGTAAAATGGAGGCCCTTAGTAGAATCTCATGACTGTCAACATACTGAGTCAAAGACAAAAAAACTAAAACACTTTGTTTGAGATCCAAAACCCCTTCTTTTTTCTAAGCACAGACCAATCAGCGAGTGGTTTAGAGTGTGTCTCAGTACTTCAGTTCTTCACTCTCATAAAAAAAATCCATTACATTTGACATCATCCTGTTGGATCCTAACTTCTTAGTAACTTAAGTGTACTTCCTAGCATGTCTCATGTCTACAAACATCAATATGGAAGAAATACAACCCTAGCGCCCAGATGTGGCTCTGAACGTTAAAGAATTAGCAAAAGCACTCTCCTCCAGGAATAATGCTTTGTATTTGTTAACACTAACGCTGGTGGAAATTGTGAATGCATACATTCCCAAATATGCGCACAAAGTCAGGATTTTATTGTTTAATTTGAGTTTTTCTTGCTTTGCACTCTTAATAAACCGCTCACTTACCGGAATCCAAAAGGTTTTCTTGTAATTTTGATGACTACTTTAGTAATTTAGTAATTAATACTTTAGACCCCCTAGGCGTGTCCACAGATTGCTCAGGTTTCTTGGATAATACTACACACACACAATGACTCATTCCTCCAGAGTGAGAACTTTTGTTTTGGCTGGATCACAGAAGAATGCAGACAAAGCAGACATAATATTTGGATTGCTGCGAGGTCTGCATGTGTGTGTGTGTGTGTGTGTGTGTGTGTGTATGTGCAGAGTGTGTGGGTGCGTGCATACGTGCACGGTAAGATCCATTGGAGTAGGCTTTTAGGCGTCTCTTTCACTGTGAAATTGGAGCAGAAATAACAAAGCTGCAACTAGAACAAACTCAAAGTGTGCACCCACCCTGTTGAGACAAATAGTGGTAGTGAAAGTAGCTGTGGTAGTGGTAGACAGTAGCAATTGCCAACATAGATTAAGAAATAGTTGAGAAATGTTTAATATCTGGAAATAAAACAAAAACAACAAAAAGAAATTTCCTATTTTCCACTCATACCAGAGGACTATTATAGTTGCGTGTGTGTTAATAATATTCAGTCGTAGCTCTCTCTGTCTGTGGGTAGGTATTCATTCCTTATTTATTTATATAGAATTTGCGCAGAGCATTTGAAATTGAGTAACTAAACAAGGTCGCCAAGTTAACTTTGCATTCCTTCTCTGCAGCGATGTGTCCGTCAGACCTCCAACAGCTGTGGAAGGAGGTGTCGGGGGTGCAGAGCAGTGAAGATGCCCTGAAACAGGCCGAGGGCCTGGACTTGAGCACCAACAGCTCCAATTCTACCTCAGCCTTTGCCAAAGCTGCCAGTGCTCACATCCCACTGCACAGCCTGGTCAACGGACAGAGCCACACCCCAAAGAGAGACAGGTACACTTACGGGCAGTATGTCAAAATACTACAGACATCAACAAACTGTCCTGTGTGACCTGCAGTCTTTCTCACACTCTCGCCACGTTATTTTCTGGCATTTCACTTTTAGCTTTTAGCTGTTCCTCCATACCTAAGCACGTAAACACAAGACATGCACATGCAGCATATCACACATCACACTGGTGTAAATACCCCTCTGTTCATTTGATAGGAGGTGTTTTGGGTTCAGTATGTTCGGACACTATGCTGTCAACCACATGCAAGTGTAGTATAGAGAAGAGGATGCTGAATGCTGGCCATGTGGGAATTATTTGTTCGTTGTGAAGACATAAATTCCTTGTTAACATGTTGACATTTTGGAGATGCTGGTTTATGTACCACACATATGAGAGCTCTGGTGTCCCGTGGCTCTGTTGACTGCTCATGGTCTTTTCTTTGTCTTTAAGAGCCAGACTGTTTGAGTGGATATCCAGCTTCACCAAGTCAGACAGCGGAGATGACCATGTCCCCTTTTACCCCAAAGGCGGGCAACCCCCCAGCAGTCAGTGAGTAGCATACACACACACACGAGTGGACAAGACAATGACAGAAAGACACACTACTGGAGGGAGGTCTTCAGTATCACTGGCACTGATTCAGTGACCTCATTTTGGAGGGGGTTGATGTGGGTGTGCAAGTATCAATCAACAGAGCTTATATTACCTGCTTAAAATAATGTCATACTATCATACTACAGCTTCAGAGTTGGCTTTAGTAGACACAAATAGGGTCGCATTAGTGTGTTAGCCCGCTAAGCTAACGCGTATTTGATGTGGAGGAGAATGTGGTTTCCAGCAGTTTCTCATGTCTGTTGTCTGAGCTGCTTCTGAGTTGACTCAACCACAGCCAGCACACACACACACACACTCCAACCTCAGCCAACACATATGATCAGGAAGAGACAAAATCGGCAAAGAGAGAGACATGTTTCCATCTGCGAGACAAATGTTTTTTGTTAGACAACCTTCTGATGTTGATTTGAGAGAATCCTCATCCCAGTCCCCACACGCACGTGCACACACACACACACACACACACAGCCATTTAAATATATGGGGAGACAGCAGTCGCCGGCGAAGTTCCAGGTCTGAACCACATCTGCTACTGGACCTGCCACACACACACACACACACACACAGACTCACAAACACACATGCATGTACGGTCACAGTTATTCTACCCTGGGCCCAAACCAAACCTGGCCCAGTCTTTCATTTCCACACACCCTTACAAACACACAAATGCTCATACATATTCACAGATGCACACATACAAACACGCACACGTCAGCTAACCACAAAAGAACAACCAGCATGACGGCAACCACATGACGGCAGCCGCCGCCAATCAGTCATGGCTGGTTGGTCCCGTGCCGACTCTGTGTCAACTCTGAAACATAAGACACACACTAACACGCGCACAACAAATACAGCAAGGACAGAAACAGACAGGTCACGGACTTAAGAATTTGCCTCTGAGGTTGCTGGACCAATTCCCATATTTGCCTGGCTTCTGTAACTGAACCCACTCTGCACTATCCTCCTCTCTATGCACTTGGCTTCGTGAACTGTACGAACTAATGACTCCTAACCAGACTCAGATGGCTCTACTGAGGCTCCTGCTGCTACAGTTTTACATTTGCATGTGACGGTGTGGCAAATGAATGCCTTATTCTCATTATCAGGAAATAATTTATGCTCCTGAACATCTGCTGTACATTTCATGTACGTACTAACATGTGAAAAATGTACTACCTGTTTTACTATCTTTCTTCCACAGTCATGAGGAGCATGCCAGCTCCCATCCTCTCTACGGCCATGGAGAGTGCAAGTGGCCTGGTTGTGAAGCACTGTGTGAGGACATGGGGCAGTTCATCAAGTAAGTTCCCAACCCAGAAGGACAGCGACAAAGAGCCAGTTGAAAACGTTTCTCAAGAATGAATAAGCTAAACAGCTAAATTGTTTTTGTAATTCAAATGTTTTTACCCATTGGTATCAAACACACATCTCTTTCCGTCTCTCTTCATATTGCTCTTTTTGTTTGATAAGACCCACACAGGTTAACGTGGTTTTTTGACCGGTGTGAGTAGCTACAAGAGATTTGATTGGATGAGTCTCTGTAAACCTGAGAGAAGTTTCCTATAACAAGAGTAAATGAACAATGTTTCCACTCTTACAATACAAGTTCTTTATTTTGAAAAAGATTGTTTTAATTTTCAGATGCAAATACAAGTTTTTCTCTCTTTCTTTATAAACCTTTAACCTTTGATGCAACATTTGAAAAGGTTATCATCCTATTGTTAAGAAGCACACCTGTTTTTAAGAGGTATCGACAAACATTGTAGGAAGTAGATAAAACATAAAGAACAGATGAAGCAGAGCAGAGAGAATGAAGCTATATTTTGTGCTAAATATGAAATGTCAGTCAAGAATTCTTATGTTGCAATCTATTACATCACATTTGCTCTGAGGCACATTCGTTCACACACACGCACACACACACAAGCACGCAGATACGCGAATACACTTAACATGTGCTTTTTTTTGAGGAATCCTTTGGGCTGCTAAAACACAATCCTCTTTTTTCACGTGTTGGTATTTGTCACTGTGTCTTTTCCTTCATTTGGCTATTGGTTTGTGTCGGTTTGTTGGTTTTAGTTTTGTATGCTTTTCCTCTGACAAAACAGACATTGACATTGTTTCTGTTTGAATAGAAAATTACTCTTAATTAGCTCATCCGCATGGACATCTTTTGCTCCCACATCAGAAGTAAAGAGAAACACTGGCACTGTGCTCCTTCCCAGGTTGGAGTCACTGGGGTATGTCAGCACAGTCTCTGGCCTTGACATTCTGCCATGTCCTCTTCTGTCACACAGTACTACAGTACAACAGACTCCCCTGTGGCTCCAAGGCTGCTAATGAAGGCTTCACAAGCCTTTTAATGAAGCCCTAAACAAACTCACACTCTCATTATCAGTGTGAACTCTTAGCTGTTTGAGCAATGGAGATATTAATAAGCAGAGTGATGAAATATGTACTCACACATATAAAGTCACAAAAGTGTGCGTTGTGATTGTGATGCCATCGGACAGCCAGATCAAAGCGTTCAGGCAGGCTGGGAAAGTTTGGAAAGGAAAGCTGTTGTTTGGTGTCTCATTTCACGTAGCCCCGGGGCAGATGGAAGGAGAAAGAGAGATAGAGTGAAGAGTGTGTGTGTGTGTGTGTGCATGTGTGTGAGTAAGAGAGAGAGGCAGATGGAAAAAAAATCGAGCCAATCACAGATAACACCGTCAGTCCGCCGGAGTGCGCTCCCTTCCAGCCTGCCTTAGTCATTGCCCCTGGAGGGAAAAGGGTAGAGCAGAAGAACTGTGGCGGGAGACACTCTACTGTTTCGGGCCTTTCTTCTCTCCTTTTCTCTCTTCCCACTTCCCCTCCCTCCCCGTCCTCTGGTATAATACTCTGGCTGTGGTCGGTGGAGCTGGGTGTAATGTGGGTTAAAGCCTTGTCTGCCAGCACTCAGAGGAGTAAACAGAGCCTCATTGTCAGGACACATACAAAAAATAAAACTGCTACTGTTTATGGCCCGGTTGTAGAGAGAGGGGAGGGTTTTAGGGGACAGATATGGCCAGAATCAGTGTGAATCTTAGGCATTTGGGGAGTTGCAGGGAGAAGACGAGTGAGAAAGGGAGACAGAAGTTCAGGCAAGAGAGAGCTTAACAGATGGAAAGAAAGACAGAGAGGGAGAGAGAGACAGGCGGTGAGATCATGTTTTTGTTATTATTATCGTGCACTTGTGTTGAGCCGTTCTGACAGGATTAGTGATGCCATGACATCATTGTTTTTGTTTCATTTCTAGTATTCGCCTGATATTGCCTAACTTTCAGTGTTGTTAAACACACAGACATTCATACATCGCACACTCCTACGCACACAACTACCACTATTCATTTCACAATAAACAAACCAGAAAAGTTGAATTGAAAAAGTTTGGACAATTTTGACAATTGAAAAAGTAGGAAAAATGAATTAGAATTTAGGCCCACAGGATTTAACTTACTCTGATACACCAACAAATACCAAGCAAGCATTCTCAACGCCCACACAAACACACACACACACACACACACACAGTGGACACGCAGCAGCAACCTGTGAATAACCTTGGTGATGACAGAGCAGAGAGAAAGAGATGGAGGAAGGGAGACAGGGGGGGGGGCTGGGCTGGGAAAGATCAGAAGGTCCTGGGTCCTCCTCTATTGGAGGAAACAAACAGCGCCACCATACACACACACACACACACACAAAACACGTCCGTGCACGTCAGCACACACACACACACACACACACCAGTGTTAATAAGTGGAGTGGAGTTTAGCTAACAGAAAGTCTTAAGATAAGGCTTTTGTGTGATAACATATGAGCTCATATCCAGGTGGCAGTCTTGGATCATGGCTCACTGAGCACCAATGAAGTATACACACACAAAACACAGCTGCTGCGTTCTTCACTAGACAAAATAAACCTCCAAGATTATGATTTCATTTTGTAGGACTGAAACGGCTCACAACTCTGCTAAATAAAAGTGAAAGAGCTTGGTTATGTTACCTGTTAATTCATTTAACAAGCACTCTGCTGAAGCTTGGAAATGATCATTGAGCTGAAACTATCAGTGCTTTGCTCCTTCTGTCGATTAGCTTTCTCATATTTCTTTCTCACTCTTAGGCACTTGAACAATGAGCACGCCCTCGATGACCGCAGCACTGCTCAGTGCCGAGTCCAGATGCAAGTGGTTCAGCAACTGGAGATTCAGGTGAGTCCCATACATGCACTTCATTTTCATCCGCTCACAAGAACAAAGTCGCAAAAACAGTTTCAGCCATTCAATGGCAGTACATTTTCTGAGGCAGGGCAGAGTTTATGGAGAGCAGTGGAGCTTGTAATTTAAAAGGAGAAGTTGGCAGGGAAGCTGCCATCGCTTCTCCAATTATAAAGCTGCTCTGGTCACCAACAACAGAGCGAGTGAGGCTGAGAGGGGAGAAGGGAGAGAGTCAGAGGGAGACATGAGCTAGGAAGCGGAGGCCCTCTTACATATACAATGTGTGAGTGGTTCACGTACACAATGCTCCTGAACATCTGAAGGCTCCGGCTAAAGCTAAATACCGACACCGGACAAGAACTGAAAGGCTGTACGTTAGAAAAGGCTGTCTTTTCACTCATGTCTTGACATAGTTTCTGAAACACTTCAGAGTAAGCGCCTCACTTCCCCGCATGCCTGTGTGTGTGCGCGCAGTCCAACATTAGGGTCGGCATTTTGTTTGGCAGTGGTGGTAAACAGCGTTTAGCTGAGCCCCTGAAGCCACCACCAGGGAACACAAAGTGACAGAGAGGCAGCTGGTGTCACATCACATCAGGGCTGCGGCCCTTCTGACATGTCACTTCATCCCTCAGCAGTCCACAGGCAGCCCGCCACTCTACCAGCCACACACACACAACAGCGCAGCCACTGTGTAAATGTGTCATATTTGCACATCTCTGCAGTGTGTGAGTATCTTAATGGCGCTATCTATCTTAGAGTAGATCCGTTGTTTCCGGAGGCTACACGCGTGTTCGCCCCCATTGCACAAACACACGCAGGATGCAGCATTTCCAGAGGCTGTAGCAGCACCCATTAAAAGGCAGTTAACAATGTCAAACGGGGACGAGTGTGTCTGCAGGCTAGTGTAAGCGTGTGAGAGTGCTCCGGGTGCTGAGGTGGCTGACTTTCATATTCATCCCTCTGCCTGAGGTGTAATTGTAATTGTAATTCAGTGTCAATACCGCATGATATCAATCTAAGCGTGTGAAATGAGGGAAAGTGTTTTCCTGGTGATGACCCCCCTTGTGTGTTTCACAGCTGGCAAAAGAGAGCGAGCGACTCCAGGCCATGATGACCCACCTGCATATGCGCCCCTCAGAGCCAAAGGCTTTTAACCAACCTGTGAGTACACTGGAAACCCAGATTACATCACCTTTTCTTGTGCCCTCTCACCCCTAACCTTTGCTCTCAGCTCTAATCCATCCACAAACTCCTCTTAGTTGAACACTTTCACTGTCCCTAAACCTTCGTGGGATTTCAAGTTCCTCTCTTACTGTCTAGCTTGGTATCTACGCCCCCTATTGACCGATGCAGGTTCATATGTTTTTTAGAAGTCTATACTTTCTATCCCTAACCTTCTTTTCAACACTTCTTTCTTTCATTTTACTTTCTTTTGTCTCTCTTTTGCTGTCTTGAACTTCTCATGAAGCCAGGAATTTTATTTCCCAGAAAACTTTGTAATGTTCTTATTCCAAAGAGAGAATAATAAAATCAGATATTCTAAGTTTGTCTGAGTTTAACTTCCGTATTGTATTCCTTCAGTATTTGAGCAATAAGCTTTTCGGAGAGAGAAAGAGAGAGAGAAAGAGACAGCAAAAGTGGTCTCTGAGTATTTTCAGCGTGTTCCCACTAAAGGAGTTAATATTTTGATGTGATGTGTGTGTCTGTGTGTGTCCACACTTGTTGGTGAGGTTGTTATTAGGTATCTAATGAATATTTCATTATTCAGGTTGACGACGAGTCTTATTAAAATATGAAGATGTTGAAATTAATTGTCAATTAGAGGTAGAGTGTCTTAATTTGAGGGGATATAAATGGGTGCAGCCAAGTGTGTGTTTGTGTGTTCTTGTGCGTCTGGATGATGCGTTGATCGCTGGGGGATCAGCTGCTATTAACATCTAATGGGAAATCAGGAAGAGGCGTGTTCTGTCACCACCGGAGACGAGCCTCGGGGTCAGGGATTGGAGGAGGAGGGGCGGGGAGGAGCGTCAGGAATGGAAACAAAGCTTGGCCTCAATTAAAAAGGTTTGACTGTTGCCGTGGTGATGTGGCAGGGTTGCAGCGTTAATGAAGTACCTGTTAAACAGCCCCGCCCCCTCAAGTCTACTTAAATGGTAGAGAGGCGGCAGAGTAAAGAGAAGGCGAGTCACACATTTTGCTTATATTTATACACACACACACACACTAGTTTTAATTAGTCCTTAACTAGCAGACCTGCAACGCCTGTCCCAGAGAGACTGCATACTGGTTTTGTATGTTGTGTATGTGTATGTGTTTTTTATTTGTGCAAGGCTCTGCCTAATTGGGCCGTATTGGTCCGTGAAGACATGGTCACCGCAAAGTGCATGTGTGTTCCCTTCTTACAAACATGCTGTTGTGTGGTTTTGTATTTCTAAGCGCAGGGTTAATTGCAGCCAGCCCTGTGTGTATAAATGCAGTACATGTGCATGTGCAGTGTGTGTGTGTGTGTGCGTGGGTTTGAGTGTGTCTGAGTAGTGTTCCGTGTAAGAATGTATCTGGTAAATTGTAGGGGCACAAATTCATAGGTTTTATTTATTGATGTAATGTGACTTAACACTGGAGGCAAAACTTAACACTGGAGCGACTAGTGACCTTGTGTTCATGACACACATGTATGTTGTAATAAATGGACATCATCAGACCCTGTCTTGTGGAGATGTACAGAAATCAGGCAAGATGACACATCTCAAGGTTAAGATGAGTGAACTATGATTCATACAGATAATCCTAGCTCTAAATTTATTCGCCACCCTCAGAAGAGAAACTGTTATTTTTTATATTAATAAGCCCAGCGAAGTATATTTAGCTTTATAATAATAAAGATTTTCCTTTATATGTTTCACCTGTATATAAATGGATTGAATGCACTGTAGACATCATTAGACAACATTAAACAAAGGTACAGTACGCTATATGATGGCAGGATATCATACACTTTTAAAATGCATAATTGAAACATTTTCATTTGTTGATTTAATAGGTAGAAAAGCCCTACAGAATCCTTGGGAAAAGCCGAATGAATAACCGTGATGTATCTGTGTCTCTCCAGCTAAACCTGGCTTCCAGTGGCTCTCTGTTAAAGCGGGACAGTGATATGTACCCAGAGGGTCTTCCTCACCCCCCCACCTCCGCTGCCACTCCCATCACCCCACTGCGCCAGGGTCCCTCAGTCATCAGCTCCTCCAGCCTGCACTCACATTCCCACTCCCACACGCACGGAATTGGGCCCATACGTCGGCGCAACTCCGACAAGTACTGCACCCCCATTGCCTCAGGTAGACTGACACACACTCACGCCTGCCTTTTTATTTCATTATTATTATGCATTGTTGAATTATTGACAGTTCACTCAAATTGTATTTTGGGGGTTTGATCCAATGGTGATGACCAATTTAGGTTTTTCATACTCTAGCTGTTCCAGTTTTCATGTGTTTTCCCTGCAATTGCAATGAAATATAGCCTCAGAAATCCTCATCATTCACAATTTAAACAGCCACCATCTCTTGACTTGCAATAGCAACTTTTTAATTCCAGGTTTCGAAGCAATACATTTGTAGTTTAAATGGTAAAGGAATTTATGGTAGGCTTTTAAAAAATATATATATATTTTGTAATTGCCTTACAAAGTTGTGCACAACAAAAATAATGTCAGGAACATTAATGAACCTCAGTTAAGTTAGAATTGTCATGCCTCTTTTTCAGAGCTGGCTCAGAACTGTGAGTTCTATAAGAACGCTGATGTCAGGCCTCCCTTCACCTACGCCTCTCTTATACGTCATGTAAGTTTTCTCCAATGACCCAGTTGCATCATCTCATCTCTCCATCTGTGTTCTTCTCCTCTAAAATCTTGTTTTGTGTCTCTTCGCTCCGCCCTCAGGCCATTCTGGAGTCCCCAGACAGACAGTTGACTCTCAATGAGATCTACAACTGGTTTACACGCAAGTTTGCCTATTTCAGGAGAAACACAGCTACATGGAAGGTAAAAGCTCACTATGTACACACTCACACTCTCCATTAGCTAAATCCCGATAAGTCAAACTCTAAAAACCGTCGGACGCTGTCGGAACAGCCTGATTAACTGTTTAGATGACGGCAAAAATGAACAGCCTGCGATTAAAAAAAGGAAACTTTCTACCCCTCTGAATGGTTAAAAGCTGATTAAATCCAAACAAAAATGTTTGGACTCAAACGTGAATGTGGTAAACAACTCTAACTGGATAAAAGCTGATCTAATTGACTGCAAAGTTATTGTGGTCTGTGCCCAGTGATGAAGCTCTCAACCCAGAGCAGATGCCGACAGAGGCCACAATGGCAGAAACCAAATTTGCTGGCGGGATTTAGTGTTATTTGAAACCTTTGGGTTGGCCAAATGACCTCACTTTGCAGAAAATCTCTGTGGCGGCCTAAATTTAGCACTTATGCTGGAAATGATAAGTCCTATAACACATACACACATGCACAGAGAGGTTTTAAAGCTGACTTTGCACAGCTCCTAAAGATATGACTGATTTGACAGTTATTGGCTCTTTTGTCCTTTATGAGACACTTCCCTACTGCTCTCATTCACTCGTTCTTCCTCACTCTCAACCCTGAACAATTCTCTTGCCTCCTCCTTTTCGCACATGGAGAGTCGGCCCCACTTAGCCCGGTAGAGCCACATCTAGCCCTCATACGGTCTCATTACAGAGATGCACATAAAAAGCCGAGACACACACGCCGCTCATGATCACACACATTAAATTCTTTCCCTCACCCTGCTCATCTCTTTCCCTCAAACACACACACACCTGGCCTGATCCCACCATTGTAGGTGCTGACCCATTTCTACAGAAACCTCACACTAATTTGAGTGTCAGTTCCTCCAGAGAGGGAAAGTGAACGAATGAGCAAAGGAGGAATGAGAGATGTAGTGGGAGGAGGGGTGAGGAGAGACCCTGTCTGTTCTCTAATAGCCCTAAACCAAGAAGGTTGTGATGGGGTGATGATGGAGCGATGGGGGAATAGAGGCAGAGGGTTAAGAGATGGGGCGGCCAGGAATATCTTTACCTCCTCATCTGACTTTTATGAATTTTAACTATTAATGTCTGATGTCTGCTTCCTATGCTGTTGGCCTCGCAGACCTTTAAATATAGCTTGGCATGGCCTTATGTATTTATATAGCAGCTCCGTGATTCAAATAGGGCCGTAGAGATGTATGTCCTTTAATAAGCCGTTATATTTCATGAGGAGAGTAGCAGTGTCAAGGAGTGAAAGTCATTGATCATAGAAACGAAAAGGACATTCAAGAAATAGTGAGAAAAAGTAAGGGATGGCTGAGGCAGGTGGAGAAATCAGCACTGAGTTATTTTAAAGTGCTGCATGATCATTTGAAGGCCTGAAAGAATATATTTTATTTTTGGTAACTTACATTTAAAAAAAGAAAAATCCCATGTAGCTGTTATGAATCCTTCCATTGGGAATAACTGACCTGACATATAACAACTTATATGCAATATGACCAAATAGAATAAGAACAGATAATAGCAATCATGACTCCATCTAAATGCTTCACTTGGACTTCCACTAACTAATTTTATCAAGTAACTACTTTATAGTTGAACTCTAAATATTATTATTTCCATTGCAGTTTTTTTCAGCTTTAGTTACCATGTTTATACCAATTTTATAAAAAAATTATGGATTAAACGGCTCAACAGAATATTAAGTGTTAAAATAGGCTCAACATAACCAACTATGACATTAATTGAATAAAATATCCAATGATATAATATATTACAGAAACACTCACAAAGGCATTTCTTTGCATTGTGAATTGGAGTACATACTTTAAAATAAAAATTCACAGTAGGTGGTATTTTTAACCAGTAAGATTTAAGTCATCTTCCACCATTTAAAAAGTATCTGGTTGCATGGTCATCAGAAATTAATTATTCATTATTTTATTATCAATCATTTACGTATGTGTGTATTTAGGATCATATGGGAGTAGCCTATCCCAGCATGCACAGGGCGGCAGCCGACACACAACCGGACTGATGATGACGCTCTAACATTTATAATAAGATGTAATCCACGTCTCTAGGATTACCTGAAAAACATTTAAGTCTGACATTTTTCTTTCTTTCCAAAATTCTGCCTCATGTTGACCCACCACCCCCCATTTCTCTCTGCCAGAGGGAGGGGAGGTGAGTGGCACATGTGCTGTGACCCACTGTAAATGACTGCTAATGTTTTAACTGGGAGAATTAGGCTTTCATCACGGAGACAAATGCAAATAGCACTGCAATAGCTCTGGTGTCTATGGTGTCTAGTCTGTGTGTATATCTGTAAGTGTTGGTGTGTGTGTGTATGTGTGTGTGTGTTTGCACAGTCAGGGTGGCGGGCGCAGATTGGGGTCAGACTCATTTACAAAACTTAGCATCACGGCTCGGGGGTTGAGGGGATGCGGGGGAGAAAGGGTTCCTCCGCTGATTATGGCTAGTGTAATTACGTGTGTGTGTGTGTATGTGCAACTAAGAGTGTGTGTGTGTGTATCCGCGAGTGTAATTACGGCAAGGAGTGATGCATGCCTGGCCTGTCCCTCCCTCTCGGCTTAGAACAACGTGTCAGAGAGAATATGCAGGATTTAATTATAGACGAATTAAAATTGGTAATGAAATTGGGCATGAACAAACTACAAATAGCAGATGAAAAGGGAGGCCTGTCCCTGGGGGGCTGAGACGAAGATAGCGGTGTGCCTGCCTGTCTGAGCTCCTGTGGATGTGTGGATGTATGCTGATGGGGACTGATTAGAAAAATTCTCAGATAAAATAACGCTGCTAGAGAACGGCTACAGTGTGTTAGCACAGTACATGTGTGCAGAAAGAGAGGGATGCCCCTCAGGTCACACTACTTAAAAAGCATCTTAGCACCAAACTGGAAGCATTGTTTGTACTGAACACACCTTGAATGAGTGTTTGGACCTCCCGCCAAGTGAAAACTTCAAGTAAAGGAACAGAAAACTATTTGAGCTGGTTTTCTCTTCAAGGATACGCTGGGAAATCATGGATCATCTTGGTGACTAAAAAAATGTGTAGCTCAGACTATTTTAATACATTTCTGAAATTAACAGGAGACATCAAGGAATATGTCACTTTTTAGACTAACGTCAGAAGGCCTTTTACAATTAATTCTTTTTACAGTGTTTTTCAGGTGTTTTTCACCACCACACGCTCTTCAGAAAAGGAAGAAGGGGCCACTATAAACTTAAATATGGCAAAAATAATTTAAATATAATTAATAATAATAATAATGATAGAAAATATAAGATTTAAATGTAAAAGACGTTTTTTAACTTCTCTTTAGTTGTGTTAACGCTTTACATCTCTCATCTCTCTTTTTGCCTTCCCAGAATGCCGTGCGCCACAACCTGAGTCTGCACAAGTGTTTTGTTCGTGTTGAAAACGTTAAGGGGGCTGTGTGGACTGTGGATGAAGTTGAATACCAAAAGAGGAGACCACCAAAGATGACCGGGTAAGAGCACACACACACACACACAGACGATGGTTTTCACGGTGCACAGTTGAGGTTGATGTGTGAGCTTTATGGATGCTGGCACAATGATTTGCTAAATGGACCCTCTATTATTACCAAGAGCAATCAAAAAAAGAGAGAAAAGGGAAGCTGGCTTATCGGTACAGACTTTACTGCATATGTGTGTGTGTGTTTTCTCTGTTTGTCGACACCATTAGTAAGCAGCTGTGATCGATGCAGGAGAGAAAAAAAAACCTTGTTAGCGTATGTAAACAGATGTTCTCTCTCCAACCGCCAGAGAAACCATTGATAATTACGCACACAGGCGCGCACACCTGCACGCTCGCACACCAGACTGAACAGACACTGGAACACTAAACAGATGCTAAAACACACACACATGTTAGTGTGTCAACACTTTGTGTGTATGTTTCTACTTGTAACAAACAAATTTGTGAAATTGGTCAGAGAGCTTTGGCATATATTTTCACATATGTACTCAATCTGTGATGCTCACTCCCCTCTCTCTCTCTCTCTCTCTCTCTCTCTTTATCTACGTGTGTGTGTGTGTGTGTGTGTGTGTGTGTCTAGAAGTCCCACTCTGGTGAAAAACATGATTTCAGGCTTGGGCTTTGGATCCCTAAACGCAAGCTACCAGGTAAGGAATTTCTCTGTCTCTCTCGCTCTCTCTCACTCTCACACACACAAACTTAGCTGCCAATCACAATCAAGGGCACTAATATCAATTCCCTTTTATAATTAGCAGATTCCCTAACGACGTTCACGCCACCTCCCCCCTCCTACACCAACACACACTCTCACCTCCCACCTCGCTTCCTCACGCAGGCACACACATTAACGCACGCGTTAACACACACTCGACCCATCTCTTCACTCCTACGCGGACACAAAGACAGAACCCACACAAGCAATTTTTCCACCGAGATGATTTATAGCGTCAAGTAGTTGTCAATTAAGGTTACCGCATAAAAATATTGCCTGGCCCAGATAATCCATCTCTTAGCATAGTGAGAATTCCCTTCCCCTGGTCTTTCTTTCCCCCTCCTGTGTGAGCGGGGATGTGGAGTGAGTCTCTTAGCGAGTGTTCAAACTGCCTCGTCTGAGAACAGCTGGATGCGAGCCGTGAACGAAGCTGCCCCTGTTGATTCAGTTGTTCTCCTCTGCAGACGTTGATGTTTTACCGTGCGTCTTAGTTGAGGCTGTGGATCAGTCTTGCTTAACATTCCTGTTGTGACTCTCTTGTGAACACACACGCGCTTATGACTTAAAAGCACAATCACGAGCCGTGATTCACTGTATTCAAGTGCCCCCTAGTGGTTTGTCAGGTTCACAAGCAAGACAGTGGATTCCAATGTGCTCCGTATTGAAGAGCTCTCAGCACTGCCAAAGAAAAACTGTCCAACATCCACTGTGCCTGTGACCACATATTCTACTATGTTTAACATGTAGGTTATGGGGAATCTACAAACACAGGTTAAATGAATAAGAAACATGTAAATGTAATGTAGATGTTTCAACATATCTGGTTGTAGTGGTCAGATCACTGTATTACATTACAGGTCATTTAGCTGACGCTTTTATCCAAAGCGATTTACATTGCATTTTTAACCCATGGCTTTTTTACATTTTTGCCTGGGGAGCAATTAGGGGTTAGGTGTCTTGCTCAGGGACACTTGGGACATATTTGGGACATGGAGCAGCCGGGGCTCAAACCTGTCTACCTTCTCTACTCCTGCGCTACGTTGACCCACCCATACCGCATACATGTATTACCTTGCATACGCCTGCTGCCATTATCATTTAAGATTAGCTAGTGTCCAGCCTCCATTTAATGTGACTGGACCACGTTGTGTGTTTGTGTGCAGGCGGCTCTGGCGGAGAGCAGTCTGTCCTTGCTGAACAGCCCTTCCCTGATGACCCCATCTGCGGCCAGCCTCAACATGCTGCATGTGGGCCACGATGATGTCAGCTCTACTGTGGAGCAGGTCAACAGTAACGGGAGCTGCAGCCCCACGCTGAGCCCTCACCAGTACAGGTACTCGCATGCACCCTCAAATAAACAAAACAGAAGGTGTAGGGCCAGTCTTTTTCTCCCAGCGTTGACCATCTTTATAGTATATGATGATATAAATCTATATGCTGGAGTTGTGATAGAGATACAAATATTAACATCTCTAGAGAAGATAACTGATTTTATTTTATTTTAGTTTAGTGTGAGATCATTTTGCATAACTGGTAGGGGTGTAACGATTCATTCACTGAATCAATTAATATCGATATTCCTGCGATCCAACTGAATCGATCTGTGCTCCGCAAATCGGCATTCCGGACGACATATATTGATTACAAATCGATTGAAATGGTACATAATCGATTGTATCGATACTTTATAATATCCATTATTAATTTAAACCTGATTTCCTTACAAGAAACAACAGGGATCTCAGAAACTTTGCCTGCACTGTCCAGTAAAGTTACTGAATCGATTTCAAGTCACTAAATCGAATCGAATCGAATCGTTCTAAATTAACCCAGATCGTCCATGAATCGAATCGGCAACCATGAATCGCGATTCGAATCGAATCGTTGTTAAAATGAATCGTTACACCCCTAATAACTGGACAATCAAAACAATTCACTGACACACATGTTGTATGTTCACAAACTACAAACTATAACCGTGACAGACATTCTTTCTAGTTGCCTCAACTTGAATAAACTTGATTGTTAATGAGTGACAGCACACATGCATTTCCAAAAGCAACAACAAACCTACCTGGATAGCACGCGTTACATTCTGAAATAACTCTAAAACTCTGCCCCTCGCCCCGCTAACAGCTGCTTGCACTCTCCTGCAGCCACCAGGTGCATGTGAAGGAGGAGCCCACTGAGCTGGAGGACGACAGTCGGTCAGTATCCCTCCTGGCCGGCGTCACACGCAACCTGCCACTGCCGAGTGACGAACGTGACCTGGAGGAGGATCTCCCCACTGAGGAGCTGGAGTAGGACCGATCCCAGGTTGACCAGAGGGACGAGATCAATCCCAGAGCCCCCTCGTCAGCATAAAGAGGAAAAGATAGCTTCAGTACACTTCAAAGAAAAGAGAGAAAAAAAGAGAATGTTTTTTTTGTTTTGTTTTTAAGAAAATGCAAGGAACCACGGACAACATTGAGAAACTCCAAACAGGGTTAGATGATACTTTCAGACGCATAAAAACAGACTGTGGAGCACTACTTTACCTCCCTGTGTTTCTTTTTCAACACTTGGCTCAGAGGTGTAACACCACTCAATCCATACACACGCGCACAAACACACACACACACACACACACACACACAAACATTTACACTCATTAACTTGTCAAACCATTTCTCATCATCCTCCCTGGTCTAATCAGCCTGTGCGTAGAGACCAACCTGTGCGAAGAGCCCCTTAGAAGTTAGGACGCACACTCTCCTCCTTGCCCGACCACTCTGCATACGCCCTCCTCGCTGTTGTCTCGGGCAGCCTGGCTGTTTTATCAGTTGAGAAGACACACGTGTGTGTGTGTGTGTGTTTGAAGGAGAGAGAAAGACACACGCACACAGAGGATCATGTGTATATAGGTTTGGAGCAGTCACCAGGGGCTGTGCAGATGTGCACCTCTCCTTCTTCCCCCTCTTTGAGTCAATCACTTGCTTCTTCAATTTCTTTGGTTTAAATTTAAATGAAACTGTAAGGCTTCAATATGGGAAGGAAGTAAGGAAGCAAGAGTGCTTTCATAGCTCAGCAGTGCTCCAACACTTGTGCAGAGCTGGCTCCGGTCTCCGGGTCGGTGTGTGAGCCCATGGCAAGGCCGTGGCTCTGGTCCCTGTCCAAACTTCTGCCCCCCAGCAAGACACTTAGTGAGGAACATCTTTTAAACTCTTTGCTTCTAACTGAGAGAAAAGATGTTTTCCCACCGCACCTCCATCCCTTCCCATCCCCACCCCGAAAGGACGGCAGGACAAGGACCATTTGGTGCTGTCCTTTTATCCTCCTCTGTCTGCAGAGAGTGATGAGCTTGGAAGACATGAGAAGAGAAGAGGGGAAGCAGAGAGAAACGAGGGAGGAAGCGTCTACAGAAATATTGTGACAAAAAAAGAAAACTGTTCATGATTATGGAATATAACAAGAAAAAAAAAAGTGTGGTAGCTTTTGTCATTTCCTTTTTTATTTGATGTTATTATCATTGTTTATTTTTGAGGATCAATATTTCCACGGTGGCGTTCTCTTTAGACGTACCTCTTCAAGGATGCTGTTTTTTACTTTTGTGTTGTAAATTGTTTGATTACTTTGGCTGTTCACACCATTCCAAATGAGTATTGGCATACAAAAAAGAAAGCGCAGTATTGTCCCAACTTGTAATACCCGGCCTTCACTTCTGCCCTTCCCTTTCTGTACCCAAGTGTAGCAGGCGAGGAATTGGAAATAGCACTTAAAGTTGCCATTATCCAGACAGATTATTTAACAGCTGAATCTTGTTTTTAAATATCTCTCATTCTCTTGTTTTTGGTTGTGAATTTAGTTGAGAAATATCAGTAATGCTTAAAATATATATATATATATATATATATATATATATATATATATATATATATATATATATATATATATATTATTACTGCAGTCAGAGAATACCTCATCCCACAAAGGTTCTGCCTGGAACTGTGTCCAAATTGATAAACGCTAAAGGGGAATTCTTTCCGTGGGACACCAAATGAGGCGACTCTGCTCAGCTTCAGCTCATTGCTCTATGGCTGTGATAGTTTAATGTGTAGAATTCAATTCACTGTGTGAGTTTGTGTGAAAGGAATAGCACATGAGATTTATTCTTTGTTTTTCGTTTTCCTTGAGCGTAAAAATCATTACTTTTCTCTACAGTGCCATACCAAATTTAACATTTATTTTAATCTATTATCTGCTTATTCCCCTTTTATTTTTGTTACAGGTAACCAAAGAAATGTAGAAAACCAAAAACCCTGTAGTTTTATTTTTTGCCCTTTTCAATTTTCCTCTTAAAGAATTGGCCAAAACACAACAAACCAGGAGTTTGAATTCTTGTTATTGTATTCATATAGCCATTGTGTTCAAATTATACACGACCTACAGTGCACGCCATTCCGAAAAACCAAAGTGTGTTGAGCAAACAAAATCTTGGAGACATCAAAGCTTTTACATGATAAGCAGTTCTGAATGACTCACATTTGGTAAGAGGCCAAACATTTGTATTATCACACCTCGCACAGTTCCTCTGAAAAACAAAAAGAAAGAAATAAGAAAAAAAGCACTTAGAGGTGAAACCCTGTCTCCCACCCTCAGGCTGAACTGTGTTTCAAACACAATCCTCCGACTGGCCCTACTGCTGTATGAGCAGGACTAAAAATTAGGCACTTGTGAGGAACTTAAACACTTTTCGCTTTACAGGATACCTTTTCTGGTGATGTCGTAACAAACATTTTTTCCATTCTAGGGAACAAACACACCCTCTTGGTCTGTATGTAGTATTTGCAGGAAGAGGAAGTGTGATGTGGTTTTAAAGGTCACATCTCGGAACATGGATGAGTTATTCCAAAACATATATATTACAATATAGAGGGAACCACTCAGAATAATAGAGAAAATATACCAATGTAAGAGGAAAACATCTAAGGGACGTCATGTATGGAAAGTCTGGTTCATATTTTCATACTATCTCTTGCTCGATTTTCTTATTTAATGACAGAATCTTTGTGACGACTTTGTGTTCAAACAGGACAGTTTCCTGTCACATTGCAGACTGATTTCTAATAAAGTACAAAGTGGCAGACTGACATCTTGAAACAAGATATAAAACCAAAAATAACACTACCTCCTTTTCAAAACAGTTCAACGCATAGCCAATGGGAGACTGAACTCTCTTAAATATTTTCTTTTCCTCCATTCTTCCTCAATGATAATAAGGAATGCCAAAACTGTTCTTACACTTACCGTATTACTGACAAAACAAATGTTATTTGGTGATCCGGACTCCCTAATACATCTGCTTGAGCCCAAAAACATAGAGATGTTTTGCTTTCCATGGAATTCAAAATGACTACCTCTCCTTAAACCACATCTAAAGCACTCTCTACGTCTCAAAGTGTGTCACTATTACAGTGCCGCATCCCTCACACAAACACACACACACACACACACATAGGGGTTTACCAGAAGCATAGAAGCGGGGCTATGGGTTAGTGCAACGGAGGCTCTGACCATCCAGATATCCAAAGACCAACAACAGAGCAGCACCCACTTGGCCCAAAACACTCGCAGAGACACCGAGAGGACTGACTCAAGCAAAATGATACTCATCACGACTAGTAATATCCAAACTAAGAGGAACTGCAGCATACAATACAACAATGATCTCTGACTTGTGCTTTAAGGTACACCTGTAAACAAAGCTGTTTTATAAAGATGTTCACAGGTCACCATGTAACACTTCTGTTCTTTCTCCAGCTTGGCATAACACAATGTATTCTTGTATAATAATGCTTGACTTATCTCTCCAGGGCATTCTTTCCCATTTTGTCTTTTTAATTTTACTTTTCTTTTTTTCTGCACCTGTTTAGCTATTGTAAAGCTTTCAGCTCTGATTCCTATACTGTACTGCTAATGCTGAAGTATATGTATTTATCATAAGTGCTGCAGGTATCTCAGTTTATTAGTTTTGCTTTGTTTTTTTGTTTCCATTTTTCAGTTCTTCATAAAACGTCTGGGACGCTGTTTTTTTTAAGTGTATTATCTCTAAAAAATGTAAAAGAATAAAAGTTAGATCAGTGGTTTAGGTAACACCTGTTTGTATATTTATCTTAGCTAGGTCTATTTTGATACTTTTTTGTCTCTGTACTGCATTTATGCATTTTTAAGGAAAGAAAAAAACAAATGGAAAACAAACTATTATGTATTGATACCTCAGAAGGACTTTTTCTCAAAGACAGGACCAAAACCTCTGAAAAGAAAAAGAGAAAAAATGTAAGAATATGTAGCCCCTCTCTTGCTTTAAAAAAAACAGCGGAGCTCTAGAAAGATATGGTTATTGGTCCTCTCAGGTGCCAATATGTGTCCCAGCTCCCTGTGACCCCTCCCTCTGACCCCTGACCCCTGTCATTCCCATGCTGAACTCCGACCCACGGAGCTGTCAATCATCTGCAGGCGCTATGGGGGTGTCACTGAGTCACAAACCTGGCTGGTGGTGACCAGTCACAAACCTCATTTCCCAGTCCCAAAGAGGCAGATCAAAGCCTGACACTGTTGCATTTTTGATATTCCTCTTGCATAGTCCCGATACCAAAACGGGGAATGGCTCTCAGAGATGCAGCTCATCGTCTGACTACCAAAGGCATTGAAAGCAGCCATTTGCTTAGTCCAAACTCCTGAACTGTAACCAAACTGCAACCAAACCAATGTCACAACTTTAACCAAACAAAACCAAGCTACTTCCAAAAGTCTCCATCGACTTCACTCACCTTTACTGATAGCTGTAATCTCTCTTACATCCATGTAATGGTGTTGTAGGACCAGCCTGCATCCTATTGGCTGGTGATTGACTCAAAGGACACAGGGAACCCAAATCCTGACTTGTGATTGGACAGTTCTGAGGTGTCACGTGAGAGGAAAGGGACTCTCAAAGTGGATGCATTGCCTGACGGTATTATTAAGTAGACAGAATCGGATGGAACCACCACTTCAGCTCTCCTCTGGTTAAACCTAAGGAATGTGTGTACATTTTCAGCAGTGACTCTCTGTATGGTTTCTTAGTTTCAGTTTACCTGTTTACCTCTCTTTATCCTCTGGTTTTTGTTCTGTTTCTTGTTATTTTTAAAGTGTGACCCGAGGAAGAGGCGGGAACAGGGACTGGTTCGTGGCTTTAGACAGAAATTGAAGCCCAGCCCTCTAACCCTCCACCCCGGGTAGCCATGTAATGCCAGTCACTGCCCTTTCCTTCATGCTGTATAAAAACACACACATATATCTGTGTATTTGTAACCTGAATCTTCTTGTGTCTGTCCATGCAGACAATAAAAAACTGTACAGTAGGTCTAGTTGCATGTAATCTGTACTAATTATTGACAATGGCATTATAAAATGCAATAAAATACTTATTACACTGTCTTTCGCAGAGTTATTGTTGTTTCTTTCTCGAGAGATAAAGAGCAGCGCGGTTCCCAACTTGTTGGACCACAAAAGGGTTCACAAGACAATAGGAAGATGTATAGGAAGAATGTCAAATGTATTCAAGTCTGCTTTTCTCTTCTGGAATACTGCTTAATTTGACCTTGTTAGACCTCATTCAGGTTTTGATATACAGTGGGGAGAACAAGTATTTGATACACTGCAGATTTTGCAGGTTTTCCCACTTACAAAGCATGTAGGAGTCTTACGTTTTATCATAGGTACTCTTCAACTGTGAGTGACGGAATCTAAAACAAAAATCCAGAAAATCAAATCGTATGATTTCTAAAAAAATATTTGGCAGTTTAGTGCATGTCGGTCAGGTCGGTCTTCCAGCATGACAACGACCTGAAACACACAACCAGGGCAACTAAGGAGTGGCTCCGGATGTCGCTGGGCAACACAGACTTTTAGTTCCCCCCAAAGATCTTCTATTGGGTTCAGGTCTGGAGACAGGCTGAGCCACTCCAGGACCTTGAGATGCTTCTTGTGGAGCCACTCCTTAGTTGCCCTGGCTGTGTGTTTCAGGTCGTTGCCATGCTGGAAGACCCAGCCACGACCCATCTTCAATGCTCTTACTGAGGGAAGGAGGTTGTTGGCCAAGATCTCACGATACATGGCCCCATTCATCCTCCCCTCAATACGGTGCAGTCGACCTGTCCCCTTTGCAGAAAAGCATACTTAAATCGACATGCTTGACTTTTTACTAAGTGCCCGCTAGAATTTTAAAAGATTTAATTTGTCTTAAGTTATCGCAATCGCGCGTCGCCCTATCAGTCGTCCACACACCTGTCTGTCAAAGTGCTTCACAGTTGGGATGGTGTTCTTGAGGTTGTACTCATCCTTCTTCTTCCTCCAAACACGACGAGTAGAGTTCAGACAAAAAAGCTCTATTTCTGGTTTCTGTACCAAATATTATGCTTGGCTCTTCTTCTGATATGTACGTATGTCATATGTACTTATGTCATGCAATGAAACTGCAAAAAAAATTTTGGGAAATCCTACAATGTGATTTTCTGGATTTCCGTCACTCACAGTTGAAGAGCACCTATGATAAAAATGACAGACTCCTATGCTTGGGAAAACCTGCAAAATACTCCCCACTGTATATCAGGCTATGGAAAAATAAAAACACAAACTGAAAATGGCTTGATATACTTAATATTAAATACAACTACATTTTCTTGTGCTCTCGACTCCTGCTGTCTCTAACCACTATAATTAAGGAAAACCAATCAAGGAAACTGTTCTGAATAATGAATCAGGAATCAGGATCAGGATACATTTATTAGCCAAAATATGTCAAACATACAAGGAATTTGTCTTGGCGGTTAGTGCGCGACAGTAGACAGACAAGACAACAGTGCACAGGTAATAAAATAAAGTGGAATGAAATGCTAATGCAATGGGTTAGTAAGAATAAGGCTAAGGCTATGGGTTAGTAAAAAACAAGGGAATAAAGTTAAACAAATTTTAAATATTAAAAAGTTAAAAAGAAAAGTATTAAGCATAAAGTGCACTAACAAACAAGTAACAGACAAGAGACAAAGTGACAAGTGACAAAGTGATGAATTGCAGTTAAAGTGGCATGTGCAGTATGTGCAGAATGAGTTTTCATCAATTTTAGCTTATTGTTAGGTCATACTGTAAAAAGTAAATAGATACCATGGGGGCAAGTTTGTAGATGCAGGTTTGATGACGATGTGGTAGTATTTTGGATGTGGTTTATTGATGATTTTCAAAGAGAAAGGGTGACACCTGAAAACGCCCATCATCCCGGGTTTGGGGGACCCAGGTTGGTGAGGGCATTGCAGATGGTTTCGAGGACAGTTTATAATTTAAGCAAAACTTAAGGTAAAAGTAAAATAAGGCACCATAGCACGGTGGAGTGGTGGTTAGCAATGTCTCCTCAAAGCAGGAAGGTCCTGTGTTTTTTGACTCCACCCAGCAGCATTTCTGTGTGGGTTCTCTTCAGGTTCTCCGGCTTCCTCCCAATCCAAAGACATGCTCTGGGGATTAGGCTGATTGGTGACTCTAAATAGCCTGCAGGTGTGGGGATGTGGATGTCAATTAATCTAGGGTGTACCCCGCCCAATGTTATCTGCCTCCCCATGACCCTTTATGAAAGTTAAGCGGCTTTGAAGATGGATGGATGGAATTGCTAAGCTTTTCAATAGAACATTCTTTTTTTTTAGTAAAAACTGTTCACATAGAAAAATATATAAACATGTACAGTATTTGAACAATGTATTAAATCATTCCTTCGTGCCAGTGCCGTGAAGTAGTTAGTAAATACTAATTTGACATGTATGCCCGATGAAACGACAAAACTACTGCTCAAAAGGTTATAGTTGGAGTTCAGGCCATCGCATCAACACAAGGCCTTCAGAGAAGTCGGCCTGTGTTGTGATGCATGAAGTGGCCACAAGGAGGAGTAAACAAACCGGACAACACAAGCAGCATCTTATAAACACAAACCCAGCAACAAACATCGCTGTGGTCCACTGACATAGTCCAACCAACAGGGTGGGCCAGAGAGTGAAGAACAGACACTGATTGACCTACCTGTTGTTTGTCGGACAGCATGAATCACATGGCTGCAGGTGGCTGAAGTTGTATTCGGTTATAGAACGGGTACTAAATACAGAAGAAGCTGGTTTCTGTGAACTATCTGTGCTTTTCCTTTACTCACCTGCACTGCTCTGTTTTTCCTTCTCCTCACCTGTATCGCTTTACCGTGCAGGTTTAGCGCATGCCCTGCAGCTGATCTTTCAACCTTTGCTCTGCATGCATGATGGATGTGTTGCCCCAGGGAGAAAATATGGAAACCGGCTGGATGTATTTGGAAGGTTAAAACTTTGTTTAATCTTGTGCTTTTAGTGAACTTCTGAGTTAGTCGGCTGGGAGAAAATCCCTGTGACATTTGTTTTTGGGAGGGACCCAATCTTAAACTTATTGCAGACACACATGCACACGCAAACAGGAACACACTGGCATGCACACATCATGAATACTGAGCAGAAAGTTAGTATATACTTGCACAAGGTGAGCCAGGGTGCATGGCTACACACATATAGGTTATTCTTGGCATGACACAATAGTCTTTGGCATTAAGCACTACATATATTTCTTAATGCTTGTCTGGGCAGAGTAAGGAATAGTGTTTATGTTGTATGTCTGCAAACCTGGATGTGTTTAAGTATCTGCTTTTCTGTGCATGTACATTGACTTACAATGCAAACTCAATATGCATGTGTGAGTTTCTGTGTGTGTATGTGTGTGTGCGTGCGTTTTTGTGCATGTTGTGTGTGTTTGTCTGTGTGTTTGTATGTGTGGAGGGCTGCTCGTTCCACCATGGAGAACAGTGAGGTCCAGGCAGAATCTGTGAGTCACAAAATAAATTTACTGAAAGACATGCTAGCATTTTGGCTGAAGAAGCATGCTGTCCCCCGAACAGAATACTGACTCTCTTAAAACAACACAACATACCTATCTGCAGCTGCGTGCATCCACATGGGCCTGCTTTTCAAATCGTCTATTACTTTGTCTTTTCTTTGTTTTTACAGAAAAAAATAACTGATATTTAAGGCACATGCAAGTACAACATTGTGTTTTGTTTATCTTGACTTCACCTCACTGTCATTGCTTGGACTGTCTACATTAACAACTACTGACCTTTTTAAGATAAAATGTGTTAAGATAAACAAATATTCTTGTGCACAAACGGAGCTGCACATTGAAGATTTGATAATAGACCAAATAAGGAAATATGTATTTGCCCTCAACCCCGTCAATGGAAAAGGCAATGATACTACACTAACTAATGATACTACACTTTGCTAAGCAATGATCAAATGAATCATATTATTTGATTCAGACAAATATATTTTACAAACAAGAACATACAACCTGCATTTCAAAACAATGGTAGCGACGACACACAACAACGTGGGCACTCCCATATTCCCAAACCAAAAAAGTGCACAGAATAATGTTGAGTTGATGGGATAGTACAGTTTGCAACGTCAATGTCGAACATGTACAACTTTTAAAAATGCGGGATTGATGTTGTTGTGGTTTTTAAATAACCAGCCTCCAATTTTGATGATCTTTCTGTCTCAGATATAATCTTTCTACCCAAGACACCTCAGATGAGTTGTGAGTGAGAAAGGGGCAAATATGGAGTGCTATGCTTTCTGTGTGGAAGAGCGAGACAGAGGGGGCGTTGGGAAAGAAGGGCGAGAGAGAGAGAGAGAGAGTGAGAGAGAGAGGGTGAGAGAGAGAGGGCCCCAGCTATGGAACAAAAGCATCTTTGTGAGTGATTGGAACCACATTTTCAGCTTCGTCTCTCTCTCTCTCTCTCTCTCTCTCTCTCTCTCTCTCTCTGAAAACCACTGAACAATCAAGTTTAGAATGGTATAAAATTAAAATAATATTCAGAGAAGCTCTACGCAGATACTCTGCGTGTGCGCGTGGCTCCAGTTTCACCTATACACACAATACTCTCTCACACACTCCCCCCCCCTGTCCGGGCTGTCACCCTTTCACCTTTCACAATCTCTGCATTTCCTCTGTTTGTCTCTCCCACCCTGCCTGTCTGCAGATCTGATGCTGGGTATGGGCTCTTGATGTGGCATTGCATGCAGTCTGGGCACAAGTCCTGGAGCAGTGGCGAGCTAGAGGAGGTAACCATTTCTTAATAGTGTCCCTGTTTCTACCATATCACTCAAAACACTATTTCAACATTTGCTTACTAGCCAAGAGTTAGATGGAATGAAGAAAATAACTGTCATGCCTTGTACATAGACTGTATAAAACATGGACGCCGTAAAGTCACCCGTTGGTTTTTGGAAGTCTGAAGTGGGTGGGTCCGGCCTTCACCATGTTTGCAGTGACGACCAAACATATCTCCCGGCTACAAAAAATATTGAGGTGTGCAGGCCGGTTTGCATAATGACACAGTTGAGCAAACTGGCAGCTGACGACCTGTTAGGGCTCTGACCTGTCACGCAAAGCGACCATGCCCTTAATCATGCCTAAATTTGACCGCACTCCATTTTTTTAATTTCAGCTAACAGCTACTTTCTTATATAACCACCTTGTTGAAACACTGAATAGTAATTTAATATGGATTCAACAAATGAGACATAACATCTCACTCTACAGGTGCTGGTAGGTGGAATTTTGTTCCCTTTTGATAAAGCCAAGCCAAGGTGTTTAATATTTACTGTGCAGCCTATAGCAACCTTCTCAACAAATTCTGTATGAAAGCAAATTATGTTTGATTTTTCCTTTAAAGTGTATAAATAACCATGAACTACATTTTGATTATAGGTGAAATAGATGGAGCGACTCAATCTCATACAACCACAGAAGAAGAAGTAGTAGCCAATGTAATCTACAGTCTTCAGGTTTTTTGAACCGTTATACAGTATTTGTTTTATCCACACTGGGCTTCTTTTTTAATAACATAATAACTGTACTGCATCCTTTCTAGATCATGTGACAATATCAGATTAAAGACGAGAATTCCCATTATTAACACATTAATCATGATGAGGTCTTGTGAAGTAGTTCAAATAAGGCTGGATTTGAATTTGATATCATTTTCTCTCCTTTTAAAATGTAAACCTGGAGTAGATGAAAATGGCAACTATTTGAAATATTTTGACAAGAATTGACTCAAAGAGACTTTAAAATGCTGCCATTGGTTGGTATGGTATACTTTGTTAAAATCGTCTATGGGATGGGGGAAATTTATAATTCATACTTCATACATACATGTCTAACAAAAATGTATTGATCATAAAGGGAGTTTGTAATACTGTCCCGGTAAAGCACAGTATGTCTGGATTTCTCTGACAAACAAAATGACAGACCGACAATAAACAATACTTCTGGAACTGTGATCTCTGTAGCTGTTGATTATTGCCTCAGACAGACACTGAGCCCCCACAGAGCATGAATCAGACCACTATTCATTGGCCTGTCTGTTTCAGATGAGTCATTGTTCACATAAATTGAACACAGCGTCATCCGGTTGTGTGTAAAAAAGGAAGCCTGTCTCAGAAAACGCCTCAGATGATTTGCTGGTGTGAATTATCTCATGTCCGTGTCACGCCCCCCAAACATCACTCACAGAGAACACGCTCATCAGACACAACCTCCAGGTGTCAACATGGCATGAGCCAACAAGGCCTGTCGGTCATGTGCTGCATTCCTTTTGTTTGTCATATCAACAACGTAAGACTATTGTCAATATTAACCTCTATAAAGTTAGAAAAGAGAAAAAATATTAAAATATAAATATGTTTTAAAAATTAGACAAATAGGCTCATTGTGATCATTATTTTCGCCCATTGACTTACACTAAATTAGAAAATGACATAGCATGGAGTGTTTTTCGTGTATGTGATAGAGTTGAAATTTATGTTATGGGTTGAAAAGTGGTACCAAGCCTCTTAAAACATGAATACCGGGTATTTTTATACACAAACCTCTGGAAACAAGGATGTTTTCAGTGAATGATGCGACTTTGGTTTCAGTAACTTTTGACATAAAAGTTACCATTTTCTGAAAACATCTGACTGATTTCAATGGCAAATAGGATACAAGGTGGGAATGTGCTTTGCAGTTTCTTTTGGAATCGCTGTTGAATGCATAATTACTAAAATGAGGATGAATCATGACCTTGTTTGGGCTTGTACTGAGACATTAAAAGCACTTGTGAGCACCAGAATGAAAGAAGAAAATATTCCCACAGTGAGTCACAAAAACCTGTGCAAGGTAAGTGTTTTCCCAGTTTCTTTAAAGTCGGGATAATTAAAAAGAAACAGCATCGGCTGTCAAAAAGCATATGAACCCTTTTCCCCTGCAAACACCTGAAGTCATAATGTTCATGTAGGAGATAAAAATACCTACCTTTTACCTGTTACCTGTTTGTGTATTCATTGCATGACAAATAACTTGACGTTGACTTCTTGTTACAAATGGGGAACCAACAGCGGTTTCGTGGCTGGAAGATTGCTAGTTGTTATATGACTTCAGAGCTTCATGATCTCCAGGTAATTAAATAGAGAATGCAATGATTACTCTATGCAAACTGAATATAATGTTTCTCTGGTTGGTGCTTTGAAATAGCCACCAGGTGGCCATGGTAAGACAGGCCTTCTGCCAGTGGAGGTAGTCCAACTTGACCAAGGTGGCTGCTGACTTGTGTTCGGCCCAGACCTCATAGCAGAGAGAACATCTGGAGGTTAAGCCGACGTCACAGGCCTTGGTGAAATGTTTGACTCCCTTGTGTGCCGCTAAACTCAAAGATTTAGGTGGTGCATTTAGGAAGAGCTAGAGTTTTCATTCTTGGAATACTTTTTTTCAGTAGTACTGAAGATGCATGGTTGACTAATGAGAAAGTTATACTGGCTATTTTGACTATATCACATCCACAGAACAACCGCTTTGGTTACTTATGGTATTTACGCCAGTGGGGATTAAGGCCTCCCTCTGTGAATACAGTTTAGGACAACGGGGAAACATTTGCAGCCCTGTGTGAAATTGTTTCTATAACTGAGCACCACAGATATGCTACATAGTATATGAACAATTGTTCCATTGTTCTCTTCTCTATTATCAGGGACAAAACATGTGGTTCCTGGGCTCATGATTCTTAATGAAAGCTTCCCTGTGTCAGGGCTGTGCCTGGTTCGGGTTAACGGGGATAATTATATGTCAGTATAGTTCAGCCCAACTAGTTTGTAGCCTGGAGGAAACACAATCACTGCTGACTGTCGTTTCCTGTCCAATAGCTGCAGCACTAAAGTCTGAGGGAAAGTATAGCGCGAGAGAAGGGAGAGGAGAGATCGAGTAGCCTGTACAGGACGGATAGATAGATAAAGGTTTAAAAGCATTTCGGGACGGTGGTGTAGCCTTTAAGACTTTGTTCGCAGAAAAACAAAGGGAAGTGGAGAAGCCCTGCAGCGCAGACAAAGACTTAGTCAGCGAGCTGCCTGCAGAGACACACTAACTTACCCAACATCTGGTCTGCTGGAGGACGATCCGCACAGAGAAACTTTTGGAGGCGGAGAGAGAACTATCTTCGCAGGACAAATATGCATTGAATTGGGCGTTTTTGGGCACCCCCATGAGCCGAAAAGAGATTAGGTGCTCGTGTGAGGTGTCGATAGTGGAGGGATAGAGGACAGAAAGGGTCTCCGGGGGCAAGAAGTCCACCCGCAGCGGCCAGAGAATGAATTAGCCGAAAGGTCGGCTGCACCGTTTCCCAGCCAGAGAGAAGGTACGATCTTCTTCTTTGTTTCTGTGCGTTTGTTTTAAATAACGCGATTTATTCTGCGCGATCTAGGCAGAATAAGTATCGCAACACAGCTGAGCTGGGTCTGAGCACGCAGCGACCCGTTAAAGCAAAGCTGGGTGCAATACAGTTAAACAGAATAGCTTGCGGTAAAGTTTATGCTTTCTTTCTTCTCTTGAAATGGACACTTATTGCTATAAAAAAAGTCTACACGAAATCCAAGCTACAAGTGTGGCATTGTTAATGTGATCGGTGCAAAGTCTATTTTTTCTTTCCCCTAAATATGCACCGTTTACCTTTTCAAAGATTAACACTACGCCCACTATAGTTATTTTATTATGTGAATCGATTTTTATGAAATCGTTCAACTTCGCATCAAGCAAAAACTCAACTCAATATGTCAATTATTTGGGGGGCAGCGAGTACGGAACGAAGCAACGGGAGCGCGCAAACAGCTGTCCAGCTGAGACTCTGGCATTGATGGCGCGCGCCAAACACACTTTGGCACGTGACACACTCAATTAGTTCCGTGTTAATGAGAAGAGAACGTGCCCGCGTGCTCGCTTCCGCCTGCACGTCTCCAGATGGAACCCACGTGACCTCATTACGGGGACGTAAGTCTAAATGTCGCTTAGCAACCATTTAGTAAGAACTCAGTCTGGGGCCAAAAAGATTCACACAAAATAACATTTTGTTATAATTTAAGCATTAGATTCATGCTTACACTTTAATTATCATCATCATCATCTAAATACTTGAGGAATGTTTAGTATTCCACTTGAATGTCCATCTTGGAAAATAAAAAGTCAACTCTTGATTGGGAGTTTTTTTAACTTGTTGAATATCAACAATACTGTGTGTTTTCATTTTAATTTAGTAGTGATTTGCAACTACAAATACAACATACGTTCAAAGAGTTTAAACCGTGTGGATTAAAAGTAGATTATGATCAGGCACATCCATTGTTATACCACTGTTTTAGGAAAGCATCTTTCTTTAGTGAATTGACAGCTAGACGTGATTCATGCTGGTTCAAGTTGTGCTTATAAGAATAATAAGAAGATAATATGAAGCGTTTCACATGACCCACGATGACATCAATGTAATAATATTTTCGGCTATGTCCACTCTCTGCTTCAGGCTCACTCCTTGGCCCCTCCACCTCCTGCCATAAGAGCCAGGCCTACGCCCATGGATGAGGAGAGGACTGCCCCTGCCATCTCCCCACAGCCACCTGATGAGGGGGACCCCAGTCCATCCGCCCCACAACCTGAGACACACGCAACCTTAACAGACGTGAGATCAAACGAACCCCCGAGCCAAAAGCCCTGTCCCAGTCCAGGTAAGAAAGAGTTTGCAAAAACAGACCCACTCAAACTGCTCTTACAACTCATTAAACCTCCTTTGTTTTATTGGTGTGTCTGTGTGTAAGCGTGATTGCCTCTAAAAAGTTAGACAGAAAGTTCTTATCAAGAGTTTATTATAAAAGAATAGAATAGAAAAAAATAGAAGCTAGCTGATTTATTCAGAAAAAGGGGCCTCTTACGTAAACCTTATTCTAGTTTTAGCCAATACGTGAGTGAGTATACAGCTGGAGGCAACATATTTTCCTTTCTTTTCAAGCTGTGGGAGACCTTTTAACCCCCCAAAAGAAGAGAAAAGTTCATTCACCTTTGTGAAAGGTTGATGTTAGTTTTCCTAAACGGAATAGTCTTGAGTCATTGTTATGTTTAAAACTTTACTCACAGGTAATTACTAAACGCTAATGGCAGACTCAGAATCAGAGTTCCAGTGACTCCCACTTGGATGATTTAAGGGGTCAGGACCAATGCAGCGCTGTGGAGCGACCACAATGAGACTGCTGGGAATTGAGAAATGACCCTTCCCCTTTGTGTTATTGGTCATGGGAAGGGTTGACTGGCACTGAGGTGGGAATCAGGGAACATTAACCGACTCAGGGCAGTATTATGCCTGAATGACTCATCCAGGATCAGCCAAAATGAGTGCAGTTGCCTGAACATTTAGTAAAGGAACTAAAACCAGTCCGGACAGCATTGACCGCAGACCCAAGTGCAGATCTAATGGCTCGTTTCCACCGAGCGGTACGGTACGGGTCGGTACCCTTTTATTTGTGTCTCCACTGCCAAAAGTTGAGAATAGTACCAAAAATCCGAACCGTACCGTACCACTTTTTGGGTACCCTTCCGTTGGGGTACCTGGCACAGTTGTTTGGTACTAAAGGGTGGGGCTAGACTCACTGCAGAACGTTGATTGGTTGAAAGAGTGTTGTCATTTGTGCGTGCCGCAAGGGGAAAGACAACACACGAGCAGCCATTTTTAAACTACTTAAGTGGCTTGTTTCAATGGGAACCTGCCTCTAAAACTCCCAATGGTTATGGAGCTTTTTTTAATGCTTTGTTTGTTTTTTAAAAAGGCAAGTCTGAACCCAATCTATTTTGATTACTGTGCCGAATGTGCAACAGCATAGAATCCACACGCGTACATCTGTGTTCTCCGCACACTGTGGTTCACCACGATGAGTGTAAGTACAGCATGAGATTTAATGATGATACCTCTGCGAAGACTTTTAGAGTTATTAAACTGTAGGTTTGCGCCTGGACATGTTGCTGTGGCTGTGCTGCATTCACCTGTGCTTGCACCTCGGGAAGCCAACACAAAGTACAACTGTGGCTTCTCCCACTAAAGTCAGACGCCTTGTCTGGCTGGCTGGTATAATTTGTGTGTGTGTGTGTGTGTGTATGAGTGTTTGTGTGTATGCTGACGGTAGGTAGGTGAGCCAGGGTGGAGAGGAGAAGATTGGTCAGGCTACCACTGAGGTTAACAAGGCGCTGCTTTCAGCGCTGTGCTTCACCCCCACCCATCGCTCTGCCTCCAGAGAGCAGGGTTTTGGAGCAACACAACAGGCTCATGTATAGATCTGACTGAGGCTGGAATCTTTTTGCCAATTTTCGCCGAAGGATGTCTTTTATTCCGCTGCTAGCACACACACAATAGAAAAGGTTTTCAAATATGAACCCTGTTAACTCTGGTTTTATTGATTCATTTTTGTACTCGGTAGGTATTAAAATGAGACTGTGAGAGTTTCATTCCTCACGTCTCCTCATGTTTGGATTGCCGTCCTTTCTGCTCAGTCGACACGAGGCTGTTGAACACCGGTGTGTACATGTTGAGAGATGTGTGCCTCTGTTGTGAGTGTCACTCTCACTCAGGCATGAGGATGCAACAAGGCTGTCTGTTTATATAGGACCCCCTCACTGTACCACCACACGTGTATTCTCTCGTTTTCTTTCATCACTTCTTGTTGTCACTCTGTTTTGGGGCTGAGCAGATCTTTTTGGTTTCCATGTTGTCATTGCAATATGAAAGTGCAACTTTGAAAATAGAGCTATGATACATAATGTAATATATTACTATGTCTAGCTCTATCATGAGTGTCTGAGAGAACAAAGCTCAGTAGTTGTTAGTTTCTTTAAATCGGACCCTGCAGGTTGTAGAGCTGTGAAGAACCTCATTCTTTTAGTCTGTCAAGCAAACTCAAGCTAAAGTGCAGAGCTGTTAAGAGACAACGGACTGATGGGTCATTGTTCAGTTACTACTTTGTCAGATGTGACGTACAGTTTGTCATTAGCTGTTATCAATAGAAACAGTAAAACAGTTTCTATTTGGACTGCTTAAACAGCTGTGCAGATATGAAATAGTTGAATATCTACTGTCATTATATTGTTGTCTCTTTGACTCGTTTTCATAGTTTTAGATGTTTGCTGTTGTCTTTTTATCCAGAGCTTTATGCTGTCTAGAATAAAAATGTCACATTTCACCAGCTACATCACAGTCCAAACTAACTCCATTCGATCTTTCTCTGAGCTCCAGCGCACAGATTTGCCGCCTTGTCCCTCTTTAGTCCGTGAGGTTTGTTGAGGCGTGTGTCTAATTTGGTTCCTCGCAGAGATAGAAATAAACTGGGAGCAGTTTGAGGCATTTTTCACAGCATATTTGAACTACGAAATGAGTATGCTTCTTCTTTTTCCTTCACCACCTCGCAAACATTTGATAAACTGCTGCTGCTTTGGAGGCCTGCTCTCACTCTTTTTCTTCCTTTCTCTACTCTTACCCACTCCCGACTTTCCAAATCTGCATAACCCTTGTCATAAACTGTGGACAGTTAGTGTCAGCATGATGCGATGATACTAACCAGCAAGCAGACCGTCGATCTTGTTGAGACACTTGAGCCAGAGGCCCGTTACTGTGCAGAAACTGCTGAGGTGACAGATTGTGGTTGTTGTCTCACCCAGTGTCAAGTCTACAGTTGTGGAAGAGGTGTTGTGGAGCTTGAACAATACTGTGGTCAATGTGTGCATAAGAGCCGGGTATCTACACTATATTCGACATTTCTTGGATTTTGATGCTCTTTCGGAGTGTAAAACAGTTTGGCCTTGGTTTCCACATGTTGTTAAATGCGCCAGTGTTGCATATTTTCCCAGAAACCAGAGAGATCTCAGAGACAAAGTAACACAATTAGATTCCCACTCGACATCGGTAGACAGTTTTTGTTTTTAATGAGCTTACACTGCTTGATTCTCTCAGCGGCTATAATCGCTGAATTTTGACATATTCCAGTGCTGCGCTCTCACAAGCCCCTCTGTGCAGTGTGTGGGTGTATGTGTGTGCCTTTGGCTCGATTTCAGCCTAAACAATTGCCTCTTCTTTACATTTTCTTTGTATGTATGTCCAAGAGGGATTCTATTTGTTGAGGGATTGTTTTGTTTTTTTGTTGTATTTTCCTCCAGGCTAGTTAGAACCCCAGTGGCTGTGTGTTGTTTCAATCAGTTGAAGTCATTACTGCCGGCCAAAGACCGGCTACTGCGTCGGATCCCCTGGCTCCGCTCTGCTGGACATTATTCCGCTTGGTTGCTCTTCACTTCATCTCATTGTATCTTCTTTTCCCTCAATTCCCTCAACTCATATCTCTATCTTTGTGTTTTTAGCCATGAGTAAGCAGGGTGTGCACCCATTTGTGTGTGAATGTGCCTGTGTGTGGTTAGTCTTAAAACTCGAAGTTATTGCTATATTTTAAAGTGCCATTTTAATCATTTTAAACATATTTTGATGATTATCGGGATGATACTAGGAATTCTAATTATTATGGCCAGGATAAATATTGGCTTCAATTTTCATATTGTTCCTTGCCTAATTACTACTATTTTGTAGATTTTGATTATGCTCTTATGATTTAACATGATATGCTTTATTCTAGCAGTGTATTCCATTACATTTTACACTATTGTTTTATTACTTTATATTCTGTCTGTTGTATGAACATACGCATCATATATTTGATGATATTATCCTCATACTTTATATATTTTTTCCGTAGCTTATTTTATCTCAGTGTATTGTAAAATGCCAATGTCCATAAGACTTTAAATTGCCTTTTTATCAAGAAAGAGAAAGTGACTCATGATTACTGTAATCAACGTCCAGCTTTTTGTCAGTTAAGTTACTTTCCATTGACTAATAGTTTCAATTTTTGTGATCAGATGTTGTGCATATATATTATCTTGATGGGAATAAAAGCATTGCAAGCTTTATAATGAAAGTTTCACTTGCATGATGTATGCTGGTTTGCTCCGTTTTGTGGCCGGTATGCAGCTTATGTAGTGTATGTCTTCTTCAAAGGGGAAATACACACTTAAGATACCTCATTTACTTTGCACATTAGAAGTCTGTGCCCCTGAAAAAGTACAGTGAAGTTGTATAAACAGGGTTGAGGTAGTTCAGAAGGCAGCAGGTAAACTGAGCTCAGCTTCCCCCCTCCCCCCCCTTCTTAGAGTTCAAAACGCAGGTTGTGCTCTCTGCAGGTGAACCAGAATGTGTTGCATCCTTTGCCAGCTCTCAGCCTGGTTCTGTGTTTGTATGTTTAGTTTAACCATTGCCCTTTCTGATCCAGATGTTTTTGTTTAACTGTTTAGGAAAAGTCCCCCAGATCGCCCTTTGAGGCCAACCGACACGTATACACAAACTGAATTATAAACACACATGAGGGCGCACATACATGAAGCATGCACACACACACACACCACAAACAAATATACATACTCATCCATGTGTAAACACACAGTTAGCTCTCCTCAGAGGCTCTTGATTGCTCTGGTCGGATTTGAATTAGAAGCTCATCTTTGTCAGATCTAAAAAATGTCTCTGGGGTCGAACGGTTTGGTGGTTTGATCCTGATGCCAACACACAATTGGTTGAAGGCCTGCTCAGATGGCATGAGGGGTCCGGTGGGAATCTGCTTACTTTCATCAATCGTGGGTTTGAAAA